GTCAGGGTGGCATTGTAAGACGTTGGCATTGTGTGGGAGTGCCCCCATCGGGTTGGGCCACCCATCGAACGGTGGTTGTTTCCATTCCGTGGGTGGTCCAGGAAAGGAATGTAGGGAATTATCATCTGCGACTGGGCTCCCTTTCGGGTCGGTTACCCGAACGATTACCCCATCTCGTACTGTAAATCCGAGGCAGACCGCCTCGGGGTCGTCCTGAATGGGGTCCTTCCCACTTGATTCTGCTTGGTCCAGGGGAGGTTGTCCACCGAGGAGCCGACTTCCTTTGCCGGTCCAGGGATTTTGGCTTTGAGCGGCTTGCCATGCCAGTCGATTTCTTGTTCAGGTGAGCCGTGAAGCCGTGCTTCGGATTGACGGGTTGTCGTCGGGCCGACTCCGGATAGAGGGGGTGACGTAGACGGCTCGTCTTGGTGGTATGGGGGGGGTGCGCAGCATTGGCGCTGGTGCTCTTGGTTCATTGTTGGGCCGATACGGGGGTATCGGCATGAGGGGGTCTTCCAGGTGCCGTCACCCGTATTCTCTCCATGCGTATTCCGTCGCGGCATACTGTAGAATTTTTTTCTTTTTCAGCACCGGTCGCATACCTGTATTCAAGTCCTAAGGACGTCGCTTGCCAGCGCATGTCCTGCCATAAGTAATTCCTCCCCTGCTCATACAACTCCTGATATTCCTTGCCCCTGGCCCTCTCAATCTCTTCTCGCAGTGCTTCTTCGTCTGTATCTTCCCCTGCCCGTTCCAGTCATTGCTGATATGGGTCGTCACTGTCCTCGTCGTCCTCCTCGTCGCCCTCGTCCCCGCTGTCCCCTTCCACGAGGAGGGAATTGACGGGCTGGTCGTAAATGGACGGTACGAGAGGACGAAGGGTCGTCGGGGACCCTTCCGTTAACTTGGGTGCTAGGCCCGTCGTCTCCTCGGTCACTGGTTCGGGCGATGGGAGGGCTCCTGAGCCGACTGTAGCGTGTTCCTCCGTGCGCTCTCGTCTCCTCCAGTTCTCGGCTATAGCGGCTGAAGAGTCGCTGGAACTCGGGATTGAGAAATTGTCGAGCAACCCTGCTACCCAGGAATCGCTGGAGAGCCCTGTCGGAGACGTGGGCATTGTCAGGTACTCGGAGCCCATAGGCTCCAAGGACGGAGTCGGCGTCGGACGAGATGGTGTCGGTGCGGGCGGGGTATTCGAGGTCGACGGTCTGGGGTTCTCCTGTTCTTCCTCGCCTAATGGCCTCGTCCCAGCTGACGATACTGGCAGGTCCCGTCCATGGGTCGTCCTCTGAGTCGGGCTCCCTGAAAGGGGATCCGGAATCGGTACGGAGCTCATACTCCCTAGAGGAGGCTGAACCCATTCTTTCGACCTCTTCTCTCCTTCTCTGCGCTCGTCCTTGTCGGTCGTATTCTGCGGCTTCATACTGCTCTCGGGCTTCTTCTCGGACGTAGTCGGCGAGCTCCTCCTGAGTTCGCCTAACTGCCTCCTCTCGCTCTTGATTCTGCTGCTGCTGCCTAACTGCTTCATCGTAGTCGAAGGGGACGTTAAGGTCCCACTCCGGGAATATCCTTTGTATGATCCTTCTTGTAGCGGCTCTTCCCCTTTCGCTGGCGGTTCCAGTCTCGGGCTCACTTCCCACGTGGAGGTGTCGATACGGATCCCCTGCTGCGGAGATGGCAATGTCCGCATTGTCGTAGTCGGGATGAATGTCCCTTCCTCGCGGATTGTCGATCCCCAGCCTGCTGACGGACAGGCTGGAGCTGGAGTTTGGCTCGGTGGGGGTCTCGGGGGGGTTCTGGGCGGGGTCGGGACTTTCGCGGGGTCCCGCAGCCATCCGAGCGGCATCAAGGGAGTCCCGAGCACAGTTTCCAATCCCTGAGGAAACTGGGGAGGCGGAATGCTCAGGGGAACTTGCTGGAGTGACGTAGTTGGAGACCTCGGCGGGCTCCTGAGCGACGTTCATCATCCACGGGTTCCGGAACCCTGTGAGAGCAGGGTGGCGGTCTCTGATGTGTCATCAGGGGTGTTCTGGTCCTTCCTCCTCGTGAAGGCTCCTCTGATCCGGGTTGCTATTCCTGGCTTCTGGTACGGGTCCCCCTTGTGGGAAGAAGGACGTTCTGGCGGAGGGGGGGATGTCATGGAAGGGGAGATCGGGGGTTACATTGCGTAGAATTTGCTGGATGTGTTGGAACGCCTGATAGTGCCTGACTATCCAAGCTGCTACTGACTGTCGTCCGCGGCAAAGGGTGATGATGGCTAAGAGACCGAGTAATGTTCCGATGATGGAAGCTATTAACTCGAAGAAGTCATGGTTTAGGTCTGCGGTTGTTACTGGCGGCATTCGGTTTCTCAGCACAATTGGGCTTGAGAAAGGGAAGATGAAAGCTTCGAGCTAATTGTTAAGCCCAAGCGTCACGTGGACTGATACACGTGATAAACAGATGTTCCTTCGCACTTCGAGGAATCACCTGAGTTCACTTATATGTATATCCGAACGGTGTGACTCAAGGTCAGAAGTAGACTCGAGGTAGAATGGTGTGAATAAACTTTAGCTCGAAGCTGGGGTATCCCAGCGAGAGCTGCTAGTCTTAAATATCATACAGGTGATGCTAATAATATAACTACTAATTGTATTGGTCTGTGTCCATGGTGCCCGTTGTCCTTGAGCATCGTTGTCGTACATAAAAGGGTAATTGTGTATCGTCGAGCGTCATTGTCTTCAGTCGACGGTGCTTACTAAGCATGTCTCGTGCTATGACTAAGCATAAATAGGGGTAAAAAGGAAGGAAAATAGGAAAAATCGTAACACAGAGAGCAAAGTCAAGCAGACTCCAAATGAAAATGATGGCATTTCAGATGATTCCATGGATGCTGAAAATGCTGAACCAAAAGGGGAAATAGCCCCTGATGTGTCATTAATCAAATCAAAGTTCTCAATATGGTGTGGGAAAATGATTGAGCTACATGACAAATCAGCCTGGATCACATCAAAGACTCAACTGAGTTACCAGACACTTCATAATCCAAGTGCATGAGCTGTGAAAACATTGGAACAACAGCATACCTCAGAAGAATCATCTTTGGAAGCCATAAATGTTGCAATAGACTATGCATGCATTGGGAAAACTGCAGACAACCTCAGTGATGAGCTATTAAGCCTTGAAGAAGCCAAGACAAGGCCAGACTGGCATCATTGAAAGAAAGCAATGGATGAAGAATACAATCTATTGACTTTTCTAGGCACATGGCAGCTGGAAGAATTACCCAAAGACAGATCACTTGTGGATTGCAAGTGGATTTACAGATTGAAAAGAGATGGTGATGGGAAAATCATCAGGTACAAGGCCAGACTTGTTGCAAAAGGATTTTCACAGGTACCTGGCATTGATTTCTTCAAGACATATGCACCAGTTGTCAGGCTGGACACATTCCACCTACTCATGGCAATTGCTGCTCAAAGAAACCAAATCATTCATGGAATGGACATTGTTGGAGCTTACTTAAATGATAAACTCAATGAATCCATTTACATGGCACAGCCACCTGAATATTCAGATAGGAGTGGAAAAATGACACACCTCAAATTAATGTTGTATGGACCCAAGCAATCTAGCCAAGTTTGGAATGACAAATTAAATACTACATTTTTGAGACTTGGATACACCAGATTGATCAGTGATCAATGTGTGTACATCAGACAAATGAGTTCTGATCCCATAATTGCAGCTGTACATGTCAATGACATGACATTGCTTGCCCCAGATGATGAAACCATGTCTAAAATAAAAGAAGAGCTTAAGAAGGAGCTAAATGTCACAGACATGAGGGAGATTCAATATATATTGGGCATGAAGATAGACAGGAATTGGGACAAGAGCACTATCACTCTATCTCAGAAGGCATATATTCTCAAAGTACTTGAGTGAATGGGCATGAATGACTGCAAACCAGTCAAAATGCCTATGGACCTGAATGTATGGCTAGAGAAAATTCCAACAGAAGACCCACAAGGCATTGACACAGCCACCAAGCAATATTACCATACTGGTGTCAGATCACTAATGTATGCGGCCAATGGATCCCAGCCCGACATTGCACATGCTGTCACTGAATTAAGCAAGTACATGCAGAATCCAGCTGCTGAGCATGTCACAGCCTTGAAGTGAGTTTTCTGCTATCTGAAAGGAATTCTAGACTTCAGAATCACATATGGAGAGACTATGGATGAGCTGATACCTTATTCAGACTCAGACTGGAGAGAAGACAGAACAGATAGAAGATCAACATCTGGTTATGTCTGTATCTATGCAGGGGGAGCTGTTACTTGGAGTTCAAAGAAACAGGCCACCATAGCCTTATCCACTATGGAAGCAGAATATATGGCCCTCACACATACAACCCAGGAAGTAATTTGGCTATGAGCACTCTTAACCAAATTAGGATTGCCACCTTATGAAGCAATGACTATTTTCGTCGACAACCAATCAGCAATCAAATTTGCCAAGAACCCTATATTCCATGCACAATTGAAGCATATAGACATATGGCACCACTTCATTTGTGAGTGCATGGCTTCAAACAAAGTCAAAGTTCAGCACTGCACATCAGAAGAGAACTTAATGGATATATTCACTAAAGGCCTACCAAGACCATTACATGAGTATTTATCTGCAGGTATTCTAGGAACTCAGAATTGAGGGGGAGTGTTGGGATAGCAATCCTGAGTGAGTACAAGAACATACTCAAAGATACGATGCCAGTCAGCAGCAGCTGACTTGGATCGTGATCCGGACTTATTTAGTATCTCGTAGAAAGATCTTGAAGTAATACAAAATGTATTTAAGTAGAACATCTCTCTCCTGAGAGGCTAATTCTAATCCTCTGTACATTACTCTGCTCTCTACTTACAACATAAATGTCAAGCTTGCACCAACTGACTTTATGCTGTTGAACTTCGTCATGAAGGAGTATATAATACTTCGACTGTCCTGCACAATCCAACATGCCTGATCTCGCTACGGCCAAAGCGCCCAATTCCAAGTTCTCCTCTTCCTACATTCCTGCGGCGGTTTTTGTGGGAGGAACATCTGGTATAGGGGAGGAATGGCCCACTATACTGGAGGGAAGATCCACCTTGTCATCATTATCCGCAATCGCGCATCAGCAGAGAAGACCTTGGCTTCCCTCCCCACCACCACACCAACAGATGGTAACCCCGTGCTCCGAGAATTCGTATTCTGCAATGCCGAATTGATGGAAAACATCAAAGATACGGCAACGGATCTCTCCACACGCCATGCGAAGATCAACTACCTCGTTATGTCGTGCTGGGTTCGCAGATTTTTGGTCAGGATACAGAGGAAGGGATTGACAAGGTGCTAGGACTGCGGTATTATCCGCGGTTCAAGTATACATATGAGCTTTTGCCTGTTGAGGAACGCGAAGGATGCCGGAGAAGATGCGAGTGTCATGTCGATCTCGGCGTCTGGAATGGGGCGCCCTATTGATGTCAACGATTTGAGACTGAAACACTCGTACACGGCATACAGCGCTACATTGGTGAGTGGCCCGTACAACGATATCATGGTAGGGGTCTGTCTTGTTTCTTTCCCAACATTCCGCTTCCCTTATATCACTCTCAGAAATTCACGAAACGCAATCCCGAAATCTCGTTCACGCATATCCACCCTGGATTTGTCAAGACGCAGCCGGCACACTGGGCTTTACGTCTTTTATCTCCGTTGATCAGCTTGTTCGTTTGGTTGAAAGCCATCTCCCCCGAGGAGTCCGCAGAATATATGCTATTTGCGCTCTTTGATGGTGAAAAAGGCATTTTTCGTCTGGGCGCGAAGGGAGATGACCTTGGGATGAAGGGGTACCTTTTTACAGAGGAGCAAAAGAAGGCTGTTTGGGATCATTCAGTGAAGGTTACTCGGTGTGCATGAACGTTGGGGCGATTCTGCAGTATTGGATTCGGATTGGGCATGCTAGGTACGTAGCAGCTCATCGTATACAAATGACTTTGATAACGCCGACGAACAGCAAGAGTGCAATCTTTGAGATATTACATCTATGATCGTTCGCTTCGACAATGATCAAAAAGACTGGCTGTGAGGCGCTTCCTGCTGTTCCCTCTTCTCCTGAAAGCCGCCCGCACGGTTTCAAATCGTCATCCAACAGTATCATCACTATATGCATTTTTATTGCATTGTTGATGTATTGCGACGCTGCTTAGGAATGTCTCATGAAACGAGATGGTTCGTACGGGGGGCCGGGCAACATCCTACTATTTGCAGGCTCTCGGGCATCCTTGTCCCGCTATCGTCGTTGTCGACATCATGATCCTCCACTAAATCAACCGTGACCTGCGACCGTCTCCTCGATGAAACTGCTCTGCATTAATGAATCGCATTTCGAGGGTGATCACAAGGCAACAGTTCAACAGTGCACGTTTGTCGCCATGACGTGGGCCGCGAGAAACATTCTAATGGTAAAAGGCCACTTTCTGCTCTCACACACCATGATCCAGGAAATAAGCGCAAGGATACTTAAGTCACCGCAAATTCTTCACTGGAAATAATAAGATCAGCAACTTAGGCAATCAAACGGGATAGACATTAAAATGCGAGCTTAGAAATTGTAGAGGCAGGGCTGGTAATGGTGCTCAGCAGCTATCGGGTTCAATACAGGCCAATAGTCACGGTCATGGTCCAGCGCCGGTGCAAACATCATTCTGCGGAGCTAACAATGTTCTGTTTCAGGTATAGATAGCCAAGTGGACCAAGTTCGGGTGAAATTGGTAGCCTGCAGTCAGTTACCATTGCGTCTCGAGCGTCAGGAACGGTGGATACAGTGGAAATCCCAGACTGATATTGCCAGTCGGTCAGACGCGTCAAGATCACGTGTGCTTCAGGGCAGGGTTCAAAATTATTCAACGAGCTCACGGCTCAATCTCAGGCATCGCCGCGTTCTCCTGGACGAGGAAGTTGTTTGTTCACAGCAGCTACCATGTATCAAGACACTCAATTTCGACGGTTGCATCGATTTCAAATTTGTGATACTACTGTGGACCGAATGACTGCAGTGCCAGTGTTCTTGGTTTGATTAATACGGCACTGACTCTGGCAACAATTGCCTTTCTGGATCTTGAATTTTCCGACTTGCTGATGATTCTTAGAGTTATTCCTCAATGGTACCGTGGCTTGAGGCTACAAATATACAGTGACCACGTATTCTCTTTAGAAGAACGTATTACTGCTACCGTGGAATACTCCGCGGACGAAGTGGATGTAGGTTAGATTTCCGCTGCCCTCGTTTTCAAGTAGAATTGACGATTACTTATACAGGATCACTTGGTTTACTCGTTTTAAGTTGTGAGCCCATCTACTGTTGCGGCATCTCACTGCACTGGCCACTAGGTTTCGTGTTGATGCAGATGTTCGACTAAGGCATTATACAAGGCGCCTCTGAGTAGTTGTTTTGCTTTCTTTGCAACCAAATATACGGCTGTCTCGGGAACTTGGGTCGCCAACCATACACATAGGCACGGTGTCGACTCATCAGCATCTGTGAACAGTTTAATTGTTCTGGAGCGCACATAACGATGCTTCGGGGTCTATGTCGATGATAAGATCAGATCGTCTCAGAGTCTTGTCGCACACCTTCGTCAATCGAAGCTGATGGGCAAGAATTCAAAGAACCGAGAATCATTTCATCTACGGTTTGCAAACTAGACAACGGATGACTGACCAGTTATCGAGGATGGATAGCCGACGCTGGGTCATATCCCTTACCCTTACATGGGACAAGATCTACTGATGATCTACATCTTGATCCGCCTCTTATCCGTGTGCTCTCTTTCTGTTTTATCTTTAATCACCCTACCGACGTAAGTACCATATAGCCCATGATGCGCGTCGGTCGCACTACCCGTAACTTTACAATTGTCCGGTTTCACCTTCCTTCCAGAGCTATCCACTGTATTGGCAATGCGCGATTGCCCCACAGATCCCGACTTTCGATATAAATGGTCACGCTCGACATTGTTTCCTCCTCCGCCCCAGGACCATACCAAAGCGGGACCCCCCTCCATAACTTATATTTTTCCCAACATCGAGTCGACCTAAATAAATCATGCTTTCCACAGTCAGCGACGCGTCTTCTTCTCCAACTCGACGAGCCCTCCTCATCGGAATTGAGTACGGACATGGACCCATTAACGCGCGACTTAGTGGAACGCATTCAGATGTTGAGAATACTATGGAATTACTGATGAGTATGCCTTTCTTCTCAGCTTCTCTCTTGTTCGGCTCAGTAATTACTTCAGCGAAATATCACTTCCAGAGGAAGGACATCACGATCCTGGTCGATGAACCTGGCACAGAGGATGATATGAAACCCACGAGGATTAATATGGTACGGCACAAGAGGTGCTCACAATTTTGCTTTGCCGAATTTCCATCTTCACAGGTACGTGAACTGCAAGCGCTCGTCCAGGACCCATCACCCGGGGGGGGGTATTTCATCCTGTGTTAGTTTTTTTCTTTCTTTGTTCCTCACGTGTCCTGTGCGTTCTGATGGTATGGTAACAGACGCGGGACACTGCGTGCAGCTCGACGCACAAGGCGACTCAGTCGAAAAAGATGAATGTTGGTCTTCTGAAACTCAATTCATGTCATCTCACCATTTCGACTCGAACAGACTTGGTACCAATGGATGCTGTACACGAAGGACCCAGCGCTTATATCCATGATAATCTTATGAGGGGTGACGTCAGTGTTCGAGTTTTTTAGTGTTACCGACTTCCATTCTTAACTATCAACAGGATCTGAAGCGTATTCTTGTTGATCCCATCGCGACAGTTCCCAAAGCAAGGCTAACGGTGAGTCATTCGTACTCAGTGTCACCAACTGGCGTTGATATTTCTTACTACAAGGCTGTCTTTGATTGCTGTCATAGCGGTACTGTTTTGGGTACGGATAGCTTCCTGTCATTGCATCCCTGACACCATTCCTTATGTGAGGTAACATTTTAGATCTCTGCCACCACCGATGTAACAGGGCGTACAACCTCAAGAGCACATGTATGTTTGATTCTAACCCTTCAGACTTGCGAAAATTAACCGCCCATTTAGATCGTGGTCTGTGCAGGAGAGGTGCGATCTTACTGAAATGTATCAGATATCGGTATTGATAACGAGCTCAGTCAAAGAGGCCTTCCCGGAACCTGGTGAAACCGCGCAAGCATTTGCTGAGCCTTGGACAATGTTAGCGTTCGAGAAAGTGTTTATGTCAATGTCCGTCGGTAATCGGAGGGAGAAACGATCCTCTTCAAGTACTTGCGATGGGTACTGTACTCGGACAAGGCGCACAGATGGAGGAAATGTGGTACGTCACTCCCAGTTAGATCCGTTTGTATTTTTTTTTTCTGATGATGACTTGTAAGCTTTGTATCTCCGCGTGCAAAGACTCACAGTCAGCGTTTGGGAACGAACATGGTGGATCGCTGACGAGGGTAAATCTTTGATGTTTGTTGCCGTCGTTTACGTGTGAGCTCACATTTGGGTGGTCTAGGCGCTAGTTGCGACGCTGAGTAAGGCGCCACTGCCGTTACGCTGATCAACAATTTTACTGAATTAGTACAGAGAAAGAACCACATCCGATTTTGAAGGACCTCTATCGAAGCGTCAGGTGGGCGGTTGCGTTCTCGTTTTATTGCGGATCAAAATATCTGAGGAAAATGTCTTTTAGTCAAAGCGTTGATTCTGTCATCCGAAACCATGTAAGGGGTTTGTTCAAGAGGGCATCACAAAACCCACAGGTATTTGTTTGGCCGTACGGTTTCGTTGAAATATATCTCACTTCACTCCCCAGTTCTCGAGTCTATCTCCTTTGGTACGTTTCCTATTTCAGTATATTTTGTGACGTTTTCATCTCCCTTTGCTCGTAGCACATGAAGAAGTCTTTTGTGTTACAAGAACCCGTGGATTAGTGCCATCAGCCTCGGCTTTTCATCTCATGCCATCATATGCTTTCCGACAAGCATGTTTCGCCCTCATTCCTGGCCTCTCGAGACTTCCGGTTCCTCCAAGCAAGAACAGGCAGTGGGGGAACAATATTTACATTTTTGATGTCTCTCACGAATCACTCATGCATGACTACATTATCTTCACCCGGCCTGCGCCGTGTAATTCTGCAAACCTACGAATGTCACTTGTACATTTACTATAGCTGTTTAATTAGTTATTATACAGATGGTTTTAATCTTAGTACAACATACATACCGACCGCGAGCTCTCTGTTGGAAGTCGTGCAAAGGCCACGACCAGCTCCAAAATCGTTATCGAGAAATCTTGGAGCGCCTTGGTTGCGTTTGCCGATCCGGCCTATGGACGTCGGAATACGAGTGGAACATTCCTTCTCGTTGCGATCATCAAATTTGGGCAATATTTAGCATGACACGGTGAGAAAAATTCTTCCTGCTATGGGGTGTGGGCGTTGTGCGACACTTCAAAGCTGCCGTCTACTAGGTAGCAAGCGCCAGGTCCTGCATCAAACAGTCGACTCGAACATTGTCCATTGTCCACCATCCGAGCAGCGCGTCTAAAAATTCTCTAACGTTTTGGAATATAGGTACATACGAACTAGATATCATTCCTGATGCGCGAGAGGCGTGATTCGTGAACAATTTATCGATAATCGCCCGACACAGGGACTTCCGATTTCCAAATTCCGAATTACCTAAATCTATTGAAAAAACTTATCTTCATCCGGATCATTGATCTAGAAACTCGGAGAAAAACAGGAGAGCTAAGGCCGCAGATGTTATGTCCTAAATTGGCAATTTATTCCCAAAGCGGTGGTGTTGGTTCCCGCCCTCGGTGTCAAACAAACAAAGCGACATATCCATTTACATTTCTTTCTCATTCCACCATGGCCAGTTACATTGGGTGCGGCTGCCTTGTTTTTGCTGTTGCTCTCACATATACTCAGTTTTTGCTGCTACAGAAAACCCATTTCGCTTGTATCGCAATCGGACGTACGCTACCGAGGCATCCTGGCGGGTATTGACCCGAATGCGTCGACCATTCAGTTGTCGAAGGGTGAGCTTTGACAGTAGCTGGCAAAAGGTGGTCCTGACCATTCTACAGTGTATTCTATGGGAACGGAGAGTAGGAGGTGAGTTTTGGTGATTTTGTTGGAGTGACGCGTGTTTTGTATGAGAACGGGTCGTTACCGTCTCCTCGCCCCTAGAGAGCCTGGATGCTACGGACGGATGGGGAACCTTCTCTGCCAAAATTGTCGGCTGGTATTGATCTTCTTATTTGCCTTCCAGACCTGCAGCAGAGTTCATACCACCAGTACAAGAACCCTACGAATACATCATCTTCCGGGCGTCTGAGGTTAAGGATTTAACGGTAGATGAGCAACAACAGGTTGCTCGTCAAAACGTCCAGGATGATCCTGCTGTCATCAACGTGCGTTATTTTTTATCATTGTTCTTTTCCTTGGTGTCTAACATCATCCAGGCTTCTGCTGGTCCTCCTATCGCGGCCGGATACTCACCGTATTCCCAAGCCCCAGTGCCCAATCCTGCCTTCGTGCAACCGCCGCCGCCCCAGCCAGTTCCTCCGACTCAGCCAGAACCGACTCCTGCTCCGCCCCGTCTCCAACAACAAAACCGACGCGCAAACCCAGTCCATACAGCCGCAGCGTCCATGGAGACTGTCGAGCGGGCCCTCGGCGATCTACGGGTCTCAAATACGGGGAATGCAAATGCAAACCGTCGCCGCCACCCGCAACAGAAGGAGCAGATCAAAGTGCCCACCACCGACTTCGACTTTGAGGGCAGCAACGCGCGGTTCGATAAGCCTGGAGCGAAGAAGGGCGACGAGGAGGAGAAAGAGAAAGAACCAGCTGCGTATAACCCGGAAAAGTCGTTCTTTGATTCGTTGACGCCTGCGCCGGTGCGAGGTGGAGGAGGCGGTGGTAGGGGCGGAGGAAGGGGAGGACACCCTGGTAGGAATCGACGGGAGGAGGAGAGGGAAAGGAACGTGGCCACGTTTGGAGAGCCGGGGGGTGTTGGGCTCATGGGTCCTGGAGCATATGTCAATGGCTGGGGCGGATACGGGCGGCGAGGCGGCGGAAGGCCAAGGAGGGGCGGGCCACCTCATGGCGTCGAGGTTAATTCGCGCTGAGTGACACTTTTTTTTGGTTGTTGATGCTGTTTCCTCTGTTTTGTCGACGTTACTGCTGTTAGTGCTTTACTAATACAAAATGATTTTCTACATATTGAAATTGTAGCGATATTCCTTTGGCGTTATTTTGAAGTTTTTCGATGCGGACACAGAGTGCGTGTTACAGGTCCAAGTCGCTATCGTAGTCTATCAAAGGACCCGTGCCGTGCACATTAAACTTCTCAAACAAGCATCTAAAAGTAGAATGCGCCGGAGCCGCACCCAAGTTCTCATAGTAATCTTGATTGATGATAGGTTTCGCAATTGAGTGACTGATGATTTTGTGAGGATGCGGAAGAAAGGAACCGAGAAAACGCACTTGTTAACGAGATGTCCCTGGATCTTATTCAACGTCGTAGGATTGCCCTCTGATGACAAATCACGGCAGTGAACGCAGCACCAGACGAGCTCATCAACCTCCATCTTGTACTTCCCTATTTTCTTGTTTGTCCTCACACTCCCTACAGTCATCGTTTCAAAATCTTAGGGCGTCAAGACGATGGGTTTGGTCGGAACGGCGTTGTGCCTACGGCCACAACAATGGTTCACCTGATCAGAAAGACAAAAAAAAAACACCTCAATCGACGTCCGAAGGAGAGGAAAGCCCAGGTGAAACTCACAAGCGTGCGCCATCCGTATATCCTAGGATCCTGATAGTTGCACTCTTTGCGGCAGATCTTGCATCGATAATACAGTAGCGGCTTGTCCATATCATGTACTGTTGTCGTATCGGGATCGAATTCCAAGCATCGTATGACCTCCGTCGTCGTCCAACTCATTCCTGGGTCACAAAACAGATTCCCCCCATTCCATTCACGTCAATGCCACAGGTAATCTGGTGCATTCTCCGAGAAATAGTCACGCGCAGCGCACTTGACATTCTCGTCATATGGTTCTGTCCAAGAATTATCAACGCGCACGCACTCCTGCACCGTACAGCACACATGCGACAAGACCCCTGGGCAGAAAAGCATCTTTTGATGGCCTCTGTGCCAAGATCCTTTGCAGATAAAGACGTTCCATGCAAGCTCCACCCACTCAATCTTCTCCTCCGAACTGGTCAACGATAAAGGGTGCGGATGGCCTGCAACCCGCAGAAACTGGTCGTGGATTCGCTCGCGCCACTCTTGGCATAACGAAGGTAGCTGGGGAACCACATCATCGAAGCTCTTCGTGTCGACAACTACCTCGCTTGGAAGTTCAAGAATCGCTTTCACCGGCGCAAATTCGTAAAAGTCGGGTAGAGAGGGGAGAATTGTGGTGTACGGAAACCCGACGGAAGAGTTTTTGTATGTCCGCAGAATAGAAACAGACATGCCCTTCCGAACAAAAACAAGCTCTTTGTGCTCGCGCTCGAGACGCTTGTCCCTTATAGCCTCCATGAAACCAACCATTTCGTCACGGATATTGTCCCAGACTGCATAAACTATAAATACCCCGGCAACGGGCGGCTTTGCTTTACCAGTCGATGCTCTCTGAAAGAATGAAGATCTTCGTTTTTTTCCAGGTCTACCTCATATCCGAGGTCTACGAGTTTCTGGTATATGCTGCATAGCAACTTGTCAGTTATCTGCTTCTCTGTGCAGGATGTGGCCTACGCTGATTTCCTCTCCTCCCGTAGTCTTGTCAATTCCATCTCTCTGTTACGGCTCTCGTTCTGGAACCATACTTTACATGCATAGACACGCTACGTAAACTGGATTAGCAAAATGGATTAATTAAATAAAGAGGGATGGCTACATGTACCTCGGACATTTCCTTCACATACAATTGCCGTTGCCGGGAGTAGGCCTCGAGCTGGCGCTCTGGAAGCGAGAGGATACGGGCTTTGACTTTGTCAACATCTCTTCTCAAATATATGAATTTTCTCTTGTAAGGTTTACGAGCTGGGGACCGTTTGTAAGTCATATGAGGTAGATCCGACGGTAAGATGAATACCAACTTCCGTACTTGCGAGGGATCATACTCAAGATATGCTCGGAGATATGCTCGGAGGCACACCCAAGGAGGATATTATACTTTTGAGCGAGACTTTTTCTGAGGCAAGGTAAGCGGCGCATACCAGAAGAACATTAGGAAAGGCTTACCCATCCTCATAACATTTTGAGCAAATACGAACCCCTAATCCAAACCCGATAGTACGACAGATGTTCTTATAACAAAGCTGCAAAATGATGAATACAATCAGATATTTGTGGGTGTGAATCGCGCGCCAGACATACGTGACAGATTGGCTCAAACAGCAAATCAACCCAGGCTGGCTCTGAGAATCCTGGCATCGGCTTGGGTAAGGACGCGTTCACACACGCAGCTTTCCATATAAACGATAAGGATTTATTCATTATGATCACGCGAAAGGCCTTTGTTGACCGCGCAAGGTGCAGCAAATCCAACGGGTGGAGATGTGCGAATGTCTGCCACAAGTTGTCTCAGTCCTCGCCTCTCGCCGTTATCGTCATAACAGTACACTTACCTCGTACCAGACATCCAGAGGCATATCAATACCCCCTTCCAAGCGCCCATGCTTTCCCCCGACTCTCGTTGATTTTGGCTTGGAGGGTTCCTGTGTCCCAGAATTAGAAATCCTGGGCCGTTTGGGTACCGTGAGAGCTTAGCAAGAGATTCTCTAGGTTAGAGATTTGCTATTTCTCTCTAATAAACGCGCCTGGATAAGCCTGCAGCGCAAATGGCGTAACCACGACGATAGCTGATGACGAAGAAAAAGGTCAGATCACGTGCATGCGCAGTAACGTGCCATCATGATCGTGATGCTCACGCGACTTCACCCAATAGTGGAGAGTATTTTCTGCTCGGAGATTTCTTCTACTTGCCTTCACTAGCCATGTTTACCGGGCACGTCAACATTATCGAAGTGACAAGTTCTCTCAAACATATCTACTCTAGGGTGTTGGGATTTTGCCGGAAAGTTCTAGAAAGGGCAATCCAGCATCATGCCGAGAGTTGATGAGTAAGCTCGAGAGAAAAAGAAAGTTGTAGTAAATTCTAGATATAAGCCTGGAGAGTATAAATACAAGCTCTGTAGGAGCTGTAGAATAACAAGTTCATTCTATCTAGCCTTACTAGCCTGGAGTCTACCCTGCGCAATGCCCAGGATTCCCAACATAGGGGGATGTTGATCTACAATCAGCTACATCATCAATGAGCAAGAGGGTGTGCTCTGTATCAATATCAGTATGGAAACAGCTCCAAAAAGTCTACCTACTGACATAAGAGACAATTTCCTTCACTTTTTCTTTTGCACAAGATAATTCCACAAATCCTCTAAGAGTTTCTTAAAAAGAATTTCCTGTCAGATATTCTCATGTATTCAATGATTCATGATTTACGACTTGCCAACAGAATCTGTTAGGCTCAGTGGACAGGCCAGTTAAAACTCGGATCGTTCCGTTTCATCTTAGGGGAGCCGTTTCACCACATTGATGGCAACATGATCGTCGTAGTGGATCTCAAATTCGGAGAAATAGGGGCTCTTCCACCGCGGTAAATGAAGGGATACCCTTTTACAGAGGAGGAAAAAGAGGGCTGTTTGGGACCATTCAGTGGAGGTTGCTCAGTGTGCATGAGCGTTGTGAGGGTTTGGGGGAGGCATAGTGCGAGAAGTTGACAAATTTCCCGTTCCTACAGGACCATGGCAGTTGCCCTGGTTCTAGAGATGAGTGCCATCGTTGAGATGTTTAATGCCTGACAGTTCACTTCGAGAATATGATCAGAAGGGCGGCTGTGAGGCTCTTTCTGCCGTTCCCTCTTTTACTGAGCTTGTCCGTGTGATATAAAATCACGGCCGTCGATCAGCATGCTTCGTTCCTATATTAATATATTAATGCATCGCAACGCGTGCCCCAAGAAACGATGACTTGGATGTTCGCCCGACTTTCCATAAGAACAGTGAGGCCTGAGGAAAGTCTGCTCATACCCGTGACAATAGCGCAGTGAATCCAACAGGCGTAGATAAGAAAATGTCTGTAATTTTTTTCCTATCAATACTTATTCGCTGGCACAGTACGAGAACGATACACATACTTCTTACCAGACATCCAAAGGTACTTAAAGATATACAAGACGCTGCAGTGATGGTGTACTGCGACGATAGCTGGAGGTGGTAGTGGTCAAAGACAGTTTCGATCACGTGTGCATGGCGGGAAAGGGCAATGGTAATTATGTAGGAAATGCCCAAATGACAATGATGGTTCGTGACAACGGATGTAATACTGTACAATTGATACTGCGAAGAAAATACGTCTAAAGTCCAATGTGAGCCCAATGTGAAAATCTACAAACTCCGGAACTTATACAACTCCTCCTGCACCTTCTCCAACCGTCTCTGCTTCACACCCAGCTCCTCCCTTAAATTTGTCGCCGCCGGGTCTTCAGCCACGTACTGCGCGCACTTTCCATTTGCCTCATTACTACCCAACCCGAACTTTTTAATCAAGAATGGCTGGAGCGCCTTCCCCACAGCCTTGACGAACTTGAGGTCAATGAGGGATGGCACGTAATCGATGATGCGCTGCAGAACCTAAGCAGGGCATACCGCAAAAGCAGAAAGACGAACCTTGTACGAAACCTGAAAATACCCTCTCACCTCCGCCATGACCTTCAGCTCCGTTTCATAATCATCCACAGGGTGGAGCTTTTCCAACTCCTCCGCAGTCAACCCGGTGAATCCCAGTGCCGTTAGAGCCGCAAGTGCCTTGTCCATCTTCTCCTTATCGAATCTATTCGAAACGTCTTCGGCAGGTAAGAACGTCCCCGATGCTGGAACACTGGTTTTGTTATTATTATTGGACTTGCGTTTGGAGGCTGTGGGACTCTTCGGGAAGACGAAGCCGTCGGCTAGACGACATGGTCAGACTGGTAATCACACAATAACATTAGACATACATCCATCTGAGGAATCGGAATTGGGGTCGATATTCACAGGTCTGGGGCCGAAATGAAAGAGGCTCGTCTTGGAGGATGCAGCCGAGAACGGCCGGGCGCCAGGGAGTATCGATTCTGGTGCTGGTGGCGCTATCTTAGCCATCCTCTCCTGCCTGGCGCCCTTATACTTCGCCAGCCACTTCTCAGAACTCGAATCCAAATAATGTAGGTTCTGCGTGAAGGGCGATAGCTCTGCCTCAAGGATAGCATCCAGAAACCCATGACAATACACGTATTGCTCTGATACAATCTCCGAGACAAGGGAGCTGGCAACGAAAACGTTGGGCGGGTAGGGAGGAAGAAAGAGGGAGACGTACCGAAGATGATGTCTCAAGAGGTCATATTGTCCCAGTCGTTCATGATCTACGCAGGCGAGAAGTGTCTTCAGAACAGTGTTCCGGACATCGTCGAAGCACGACTTGACGGAGTCGGGCCACGACTGCTGGAAGGAAGTAATGAGAGCTACTTTGGCATTAAATGGCACATTGTTGGGTAATTCTCTCGTTACGGATCTAGTCGAATGAAATCAACGAACGTAAGACCACAAGCAAACGAAGGCCCACCTTTGTATATGCATCCTCATATCAGAGACTCCGAACGGTCCGGACGTAGTAAGCACTCCATTTTCACTTTCATCGTCATCGTTAACCGACTCCTTGGCGTCACCAGAAGGTATAAAATTCGGCGCCGTCTTTCTGATTTCAATTTTAAACTTGGCAAAGGCTGTACGGTTGTCCTGAATCATCTTGTTCGTCCGGGAGCTCCCCCGAATATGCAGATTGATATCGTCACAGAGCGTCGTAATGAGCTGCAACATATAAGTGGCCGGGTCACCGACGATTGGCTTTGGTAGGCGTTCCAGTTCGTCTCGACACGTCTTCAGTTGTCGAGTCGCTTCGAGCTGAATCTTCGGCAAGCTGAGAGATAGCATCAATACACAAGTATTATCAAAATAAAGCAAAAAAAACATACGCCTCTTGTATGACTCGTATGAGAAGGCTGCTCAAGGCTGCTGTGAGATTTTTGACGCCAAAATAGTGTGGCGTAGTGGAGAGGCTCCAGGGTTCCGTTCGTGTAAAAAACTCCATCTCAGCTTTACGCGTCTCCTCAGAGGTCATACCACTGTTCCTGTCAGCATCGTCCGGATGTCTCGTACAGTAATAACCGTGCTTGAGAGGGAACCGTCGCCCTTCGACAACATCCAGCCACAAGGCACGGTTTTTGACAGACCCTTCCGGTAACATATCCGGTTTGGTAAGGACACCTGAAAGAATGTTATTTCACAGGCAAGAAATGTGCGTTGCGCTTACTTACCTATTGTTCGACGCCCCTGAGGATCAGCTTGGTTGGCTAACTTGAGTGCTTTTTGGTTCTCCACATCGTCTTTGAGCAGGTCGTGAGCGACAGAAATACGACGCGACGGAAGTTGACTTGCCTGTCATCGGGAGGGCAACGAGGATCAAACAATTACCCGCTATGTGTGAAACGACCATGTCTTCAACGAGTTTGACTATTTCGGTCTCAGCATTTTGAATGATGCCTACGTAGCGGTTAGGTACTAAAAGATAAAGATACTCTAAAATATACCTGGAAGATCGATGAAAGAGAGATCAGTCAAATCCGGACCCTTTAGATCGACACAGACGACATTGCGAGAAAACCGCAGAGCACTGCTTGACGAATTATAATCCATCTCGTGTATGCTAACCCCAAGGATATGTTCATATGAAAGGTTCGGATTGAGCACAGCCCACTGGGCTCGTCGTAGCATTGGTTCGACCTGGCTTTTTTTCGTGATGAGGTCTCCAAATTTCCGCTCGATGACTTCTTTGAGGCGGCTCCCTCCACTCTGTTCGAATTCGTATCGTATAGAAATTTGGCAGCACCATGGGTCTTCACTTGAAGCAAGGCGGCATTCCATCGGACATCGCGTACACGTTCCGGCGTCTCGAGGCACGTTGATCTATGATAGCTCGGTTAGGAACGAAATGGGAAGAGGTAACCCAAGATATACGCCAGATATCGCCTCCACGACACTCGATTTGCCTTTGAACACGCCCTAAGTACGCCAATCTATTTCGCAGGGAGGTCGCACGTACCAGCGCTTTGGTTGCCGATAACAACGACGCGGGGAAGCTTTAGATACGTCTGAGCACTGAGAGCAGAATATTAGTGGCTGGCTGTCGACCTTTCAAAATTAGCGCGTACCCTATACTGTGAAGCTGGTTCATGATAGCCAGCATCTCCTTGCGCCGGCTAGCATAGTGGTCCATGGCGAGTGAATAAAAGACGCGTAATGAGATAAAGAAAAGGTCCAGACAGAAAAGTAAGAGAAGAATACAGAGATGGTGGTGGTGAGGATGAAGGCAAAGCGCGCCAAGCCCCTTTATAAAACATCTGGCTGCGGCGGCAACGTTCCGCGGCATGAAATGGAAGCAGTTGTAAGAAGGCCCCCAATATAGCCATAGCCGCTCAGATCAAAATCTTCAAAAGTCTCAGACAAGTTGCCAAATTTTCTAGATTTTGCTCGGATTAGCGATGACTTGGTGTGAGTTTTTGTCGAAATCTCTCTGGCACGTACCCAAGGCCTATTTCTTCGGACTGGTATTTTTCCTTCGGATAGTTGAATTTTGCGCCAGATGAAAAAATATTGTCCAATGGGTCCGGGTACGAGTCTAATCTCGGGAAAATGTGTTCGGATGGTCCCAAGGCATCGATAATTTCCCTACATTTCCTCTCAGACCAAAGATATGCTTCTTTTCAAAAATTTCCAACTTCTGTTCGGATTTACTTATGGTATAGGGTCAATTTTTTTTCGGATCGTGTCGTAGGTAAGATAAGTAAAAGAGGTGCACTTTGGGCTCTTATTGGATCTAGACGTATTCCGGTAGACTTACTCTCACATGATACAGTAAAATATCCATAGTCACGAACCATCATTGCCATTTTGGCATTTCCTACATAATAAGAAGACAAGTACGCGAGAGATATTCCTAAATCTTCTAAACATTGACCACTGTCGCTACCCGACTTAGGCCGAGCACGAGCACTTCTGCTTGCAATAACCATCACTGTTAGTGATATAATCGATGGAACCGTCAGGTTGAGTTTGTCCTCCACGGTTGATCGAGTCCGCGGCTGAGTGGCACTGGGAGAAAAGGGAACAGGTCAAGAGGGGGCTTCCGTTCTATCAAAAAAACAGTCAGCCTCGTCTCTCATGCAATACATGATCCGAGTGTTGCAGACCTTTCCGTTGACATCGTGGTAGGCTGAATCAGAAAAGGCCAGATCAGACAGAGTGAAAAAAAAAGGAAAGAATAGGACGAACAGTTAACGAAAATACACCCATTAACACTGTCGCACATGGCCTTGCAAGCTAAAAAACATTGCATCGTGAGAAACGCCGGTTAGGAGAATTTAGTCCGAATCAACTCACCTTCAACGGTATCGACCAATCCGTAGGTCATGTAGTCGACCGCTTCGGTGGCGCCGGTAAGGTTGGAGAACAGCTGGGTGTAGCCATCGCTGCTCGGAGACGTGGGGCACTGGAAGCCATCATTCTGTTGCTCGAGGAGCCAGCACAGGTACTGTTAACGACGGTTAGCATTCCTCACACGGGGGAAGTAGCAGGGAGTGGCAAGACTGACGCTGTCCTGGAGCCAAGGCAGATCAGTGAGAGAGTCTGGGAGGTTGTCGGGATTGTCGCCATAGTACCATCCCGGCGTCGTGCCTTGCTCCCAGGGAGTGAGAGGAGCACCGTAGGAGTTGCCCGAGGTGAGGGTGTCCGTGGCGATTGTGGTGTCCGTAGTGTTCGAACTGTCGGTGCTGTTGTCTGCACCACGGACGAGGAGGGCGGCCGTGATGGTTACGAAAAGAGTAGAGAAGGAAGGCATTGCAGTAGAAGAACTTGAAAGCACCGCTGAGATGAAGCTCGAGTTGCTGGACAAAAAACGACGTTCACCCTCCAATTTATAGCGACGCGTTCTTCAGGTCCACGGAACGAATGACCGAGTGCCTGAACTCGGAGTGCGAGGATTGAGTGATCCTATGGGTACCTGCAAGAAGGACAGTTCCTTGATATTCATGAAATTTATGTCAGGTACCTGAGCAGATGAATAGGAACCCAGACACAGCGTTCTTGACTCTTGACAGTCTCTGGCATACGCCGCCCCCAGAATACATTCGATGCGCTGATCCAGGCGCTGAAAAAACCGTACGTGGAATAGAAAAACCTCCGTTTCTCTATTATGATGGAGAGCGTGCATCTACGAACGTGACCGAGTACGAAGCCAAAGCGGCCATAGTCAAATTAAGTATGATCCTCCTTAAAAGCATAGCCGAAGTGCGTGTAGTCGTGACAGATTTTGATGAAGTGTATCCGTAAGCTCCGTTGGTTTCGAAAGACGAGAGGTAAAGTAATGTACAGACATATGAAGAGAAATTCAAGGATTGCTAACAGTTCGTTAACGTTCCACACTAAAAAGAAAAAACAAAAAGAAAAAAAATGCAGAAACAGCGCCCGAAAACGTACCTGCTGAATGTTAAGGTCATTGCCCTGATAACGGAACAAATGCGGCTGTCAGGCAGCAGTAACAATGTGTGGAACGGTCTTTCCAAAAGCCCATGGCTAGCGGATCCGGCTTTTGAGAGTTCTAACCTCCAACAGAGAGCAAGAACAAGCCGATCGACAGAGTGACAATGCCATCACTCGGAGGACGAAATTGCCGCCCGACATCATGCCGAAGTTTTCCGCACAGCACCTGACTCTGAAGGAAATTTATTCCTCCATCATACCCTTGATATTCTCAGAGCCCAGAGTACGAGGGCAGCTCCGGGCTTAAGCCCGCTGAAAAAGTAGAAGGGACTTATTCAGGCTGTGGCTGTCGAAACTTGCGATTCGGAGTCTGCCCGATCTGGAGACCTCTGGACATCGTTCCAGCCTCAGACGAAGCGCCCATTAACGTTCTTGCGCTCGAAACTGTCCAGATACTTGTTGGTATCTTCATACATTAATGTTCCGTTTTGATGCTTGGCAATAATATCGAGTTCAAAGTTGACGCATTATCTAATAGCGGGAAAATAGACGGTTTCATAGCCCAAGTCAACTGGGAAACATCATTCAGCGGTGTCGATGATATAGCGTCTAGGATAAAACAGACTTTGCGAGCTCGGAAGCGCAAAAAGCAGACGCACTGCTGATACATTTCTGTCGGATTCGCATAGCAATGTCACAGAAAACGTTGCGTTTCGAGATTTGAAGGAGAGGCAAAAGCATCGACAACAGAGGCAAGCGCATTTTAGCTGGTAAAAAACGAACCCTTAAATATTTTGTTTTAGCGAAGCCTTTCAAGATCCTGAAAAGACCTTCAGTAAGACGATATAACAAACTTGTCCCCCTTTTTACTGGAGCTGAAATTGAAACCTTCTAAGGTCCCAGCTATCAAAAACGCACCAGCCTCTACAATGATCCCTGTGCACTCTAGCCTTTCTTGATCAACTGCGCCTACAGCGAAGCATCTGGTAAATGAGAAGGAGATAGGCGTGAAGAAGAGGCGGCTGGAGATAGTTTAAGGAGAGCTGTATAGGTTTGAGGATTTGTAGATCTGTTGCGATCCTTTGCATTTCGGGTTAGGTTGTATTGGTATTTGGGACGACTTGGAATGGAAGGAAAAAAGACGAAAGTCAACGAAAATGCATCCAGTAACACTGCCGCACATGTCCCTGCGGGCTAAAATGGCATCGTGAGAAACATTGCGTAGAAGACAGGTAGTCCGGGTAGCCATACCTACAACAGTATCGACCAGTCCATAGGTCATGTATTCGACCGCTTCAGTAGCGCCGGTATAGTTAGAGAAAAGGTGTCTATAGCCATCGCTTCTGGGAGAGGGACTAGTGTGGCACAGGAAGCCGTCGTTCAGTTGCTCGAGGAGCCAGCATATGCACTGTTATCAACGATCAGCATTTAGCACACGGGCAAGTGGCAAGAAAAGCTGACGCTATTCTTGAGCCAGGGCAGCTCGGAGGAGATATCGGAGATATTGTCAGGAGAGTCGCCGAAGTACCAAAGGAGTTACTTTCGTTGAGCTGGGAGCTGATGTTTGGGTGTCTGTGGAGGACGCGTTTGGGCCGCCGAGCATGATCCGTGAATGCCCGGGGAGATTGAGTGTCCGCCCGCGCGGAGTGCGAGGCATTATGAATATCTGCAAAGAATTGCAGTCAGCTCCTTGATGTTCATGAAGTTTATATGATGTACCTGAGCAGACGAGTAGGAACCCAGATGTATTTAGGACTTTTGATGCTCTTCTGCATGGGCCGCTGTTTCCGGTGCTGGAGAAGGCAGCTTCTGTGAGAAGAAATCGTCCATTTTCTATCATGTCGCAGAGCGTGCAGCTCCGAGCTCCCTTGAAAGTATGACCCTCAACGAGTGCGATATGACAGAGTTCTGATGAAAATAAACTTTAAACTCGGTCGATCTCGAAATAGAGCGACAGAGTAACATGCAAGAACGGCGGTTGAAGTCAAGCGAGAGAGAAATCCAGGGGATTTCCTTGACAGTCGACAGCTTCCCACTCCTGTTAATGTTCCACGTTAAAGACCACCTAACAAGTAGCAAAAACACAAGCGTCTGTCGCCCGTAAACTTACCTGCTATATATTACAGTCTCGCACGTTAAGGAATATTGGCACCCCACGGTAGCCGAAGATATGCATCGTGAGACGGGCTTGGACCCGGGGAGCTCGGCTTTCAAGGGTTCAGCCCTTAATAAACGGTAAGACTGGCTTAAGCCAGAAGCTATGACTAGCCTGAGCCGGGGCCTTTGGCGCCAACGCTGAACTTTGAAGGTTCCATCATCAGAACCTATCTCCGAGTTGATGCGTTATCATGAGTAAAGAAGCAAGAAATGCAATACTATTGGCATTTCGCTGTAGAGCGACACGACTGCAGTTAATATGGTCATCGAAGGAGATCCATGTTGTACCTACCCATGAGCATGGACTTCAGAAAGAGTAAATGTATAAAAATGGAACCCTTACTACGAAATATGATCTTCGCCAACTAGTAGTACATACAGAAAAGACTCGACCATCATTTGCATACTTGCTTGGGAGCTACTTTCAGCTCGATGAATGACACGGAAGGTATCTACAAGGAAAGATTCAGTGGTGAAAACGTCTCAGACCAAACATCACGAACAGATGGAACGCTGGCCTCTCCGTGTGCCTCGGCAGTCTGTTTAACAATCTGATTCATCATCACGATTGTACCTGCTAGCGCCTGTAGATCCTTATCATTATTTTCGAGTTTCTTGATTATCATTCAACGAAATGCAGCATAATTGATATGGATTTCACGTACCTCAACCGCCTCCAAGACCACTGCGAAACATCCTGCCGTGTCCTTGATGTACAGAAATAGCGTCATTTCACTCGCAGCAGTGGTAAACTTGGCACTCCGAGTACAAGTACCGATATTAAAAGATCGAGGCATACGAGTGGTGGAGCATGTTCCGATGGGCCGGACCAATGTCAACGCCCATTAACAGCATCACGATTTGCAGTACAGATGACGGATCTTCTCTTGATCTAATCTGGACTGATATATCTGAGAAAAAATGTACGAAAGCAAACAAAGCAGACGTACAGCCGAAGAATTTCCTAGAACCAATGCTTCACCGTCGTCGTCACGCAGCAATGCCACAGGAAATGGAGCATTGGTTATGTTTCGTGATTCAAAGGAGACAGAGCAGCATAGCAAACGATATGAGCAGTTCTGTAGCAAGACACAAGTACCAATGTCAGACATACATCTTCCACAACGGCAAACAGGACGTACCAAGGCCTGAATTACAACACAAAGATGCCCGGAAATGCGCATATATAGTGCTTGTCATCGCTAGAGGTCATAGAGGAGGCGAGAAGACAGCATTGGTGGTGGTGATGAAAGGAAGAGAGCAGATGCTGCCTGCCATTTTAGGACTTGACAATCAACCACCACCACGGACCGGGCTCGCTGCTCGTTCTGGGTATATGCTCCTCTTTCTCTTCCTTCCGACGTTTCCCATCGATGAATCATGATGCATTGGACATTCAAGATCAAGGAAATGCTGAGCCTACTAGTAGCAGATGAATGCTCAAATTTGTGCTAGGAACAAACGTGTGTTTGCCAAAAAGAAAATCCGAAAAGCTCGTTCTCATGCCATCTACAGCGCTTTTGCCTTGCCTAATGATGGCCCCGACGACGAATAGACAGGGACCAGCATGCTCATTGCTCTTCTCTGAGCCTGGAATCATCGTATTGTGCTCCAGGTCATATACGCGTAGGGCGATACGGTGCAGAAACCGCTGAAGATATCGCTTGACTTCGTGTCCCGCTCCTCAGTAGATGCGGGCTACTGTGGGCCTCGGTGTCTGGAAGCTATATTGGTACGCTTCGTCTCTAATATTCCAGGCTTGTCATCTCCTGATAATGATATCTAGAGTGTCGTGAAATGCGGCAGGGATGATCGTCCGGCACGTGTCTGCTCTACCTTCAATAGTTCAAGTCGTACTTATCATTGTTCAGATATCCTTCGCCGCTCTTGAGGGAACCGAGGACGAGGTTCTCTTTCTTGCCGCCAACATAAAAAGAACGTAACACCAAAGGTAGAGAGGGGGGCCCGAATGGCCTACGGTTCAAGCAGCTCACAAAGTATGGCCTGCTCTACGGTTTTGCTCTGTCTTTCCCCCCTTTCTGACTCATTCACAATAGCACGGGCACGTTATTTTGCCTCTTAAACATATCAAAACCCAAGCCCATTAGCGCGTCTTCAGCATGTAGGTATGAAGCATCACTCCTAAGAAGTAGAGTGCTCTGTATCACGTATCTATGTATGCAGGTTGGCTTTTAAGCTTCATTCTATTTTATCTTGTTACCTCACCCCATTGAAAGAAAGCGGCTTCCGCGTCGATTTTCATCTTGGTACGACAAAGACGCCGCGAAGCGTTGGTTGCCTTCAACTCAGAATATTGTTACGAAACCGGTGATTCTCGTTCAACCCAGATCCGTTACGAGATAATCGCCCGACGATCCTCCGTTCGATGTCAAAGTATTGCGCATCGCCTATTTGTAACTTTAACGGCCAGACTTCGTCCAGGCATATGTTCGGAAAACTGTTCAAATGTGCTTCTCACTTGTGTGGATCATAAGACTCGGACGGTACCGATAGCAGCACTCTAGTCTGTGCCGACGTCTGCTTTCTCCTTAATTCCACCCCAAAGACCAAGGCCCTAGATTTGCGCCCATCAGCCATAATGCCGGTCCCTCGAATGAATGTAAGTTTGTTCTTTTAGTGCTACCAACCACCGGAGTCTGACAGAATCACTCAGCTGACTCCTTCCTGGCACCACTTCACACAGTGCCCTGCAAGTTACCAACAGAACATGCACTCCGGCATCTCTCATCTCGTTCCTATCTGTTTCAGTGAGACCCCATCCACCTAGTTGCATTCGGTAGCTCAGAGAGTGTTCCGCCTGTTTTTTTCAGGCTCGATCCGACACAGATGGAACCATCTACCAGCGTGTTGGTCCATCCTGTAGATGAGTACGAGACGGATTTAAAGGCTAAGACTGGGGTGAGGGGGTATCTACAGATGGGTTCGTATAAGGTTCGTTCGACGGCTGTCTCTCCTGATGGGAAGTGTTGCAGCATATCATCTATTACGTGACATCTCCCATTGGCTTTTAAGGCCATCAAAGCTTGGGAAACGAGCGCCAGCGGCCGTCCTTGATTCAGAAGTTTGAATTGGAGAGTAATAGATGTCAAGTGCGCGAAGCATTTGGCGGAAGACCCATGTGGTGTGGTGATGGCTGTGAGGGAGGGAGTTAAGACAGAGGCGGCGGACTGGGATGGTGTGAGAAAAAATTGCACAGGTTTGGCGTTCGGTGGGATGGTTTCTCGGTCTCTTTTGAATTTTTGATTTTGAACGTACTGTGGTTCTTTCCCATTGCTCACGAATAATCACTGGCATATGGGTATTTCGCAGGTTCTGCGGGCTAACAAATACATAACTATTCATATCGTTCCTTGTAGTATCTTGCGATACAACGAATCACTTCGTCTTGCAATACCCTGCACTGTCTGTGATGAAATCGACAGAGCCATCGGGCTGGGTCTGTCCTCCGCAGTTGTCGGCGTCTGCGAGGGTGTGGCACTTGGAGAAAAGCGAGCAAGTTAAGAGGGGACTTCCGTTCTATTGATGATGCAGTCAGTCAGTACAGTGTCTCCTAAACAGCTGGCTTTGAGTGTGCATACCTTTCCATTGACATCGTGGTAGGCTGTATCAGGAAGGTCAGTCAGCCTGAGACAACGACTCGGACAGGATAAATAGCACGAACGATTAATGAAAATGCATCCATCAACGCTGTTGCACATATCCATGCAGGCTGAAATGTCAACACATGAGAATCATCATTTACGAATACTCAGATGGAATGGATGTACCCGCAACTGTATCAACCAATCCATAGGTCATGTAATCGGCTGCTTGGACGGCGCAGTTAAAGTTGGAAAACACCGGCTTGTAGCCATTGTTGGGCGGAGGGGGATTGGGTTGGAAAGGAGGCACGGGGCAGAAGAAGCCGCAATCAAGTAGTTCAAGGATCCAGCACAGGAACTGTTGGTGGGGGGGGGGACAGTTGGTCAGTATTATTTTTTTTTTGCCCAGTGAGAGGTGAGCGAGACTGACGCTGTCCTCCAGCCAAGGCAGGCCGGGCCAGAAAGATGGGACGTTGTCGGGATTGTCGCCGTAGTACCACCCTGGCTTGGACCCTTGCTCCCAGGGAGGCACAGGAGCACCGAAGTTGTTGTCTTGGTTGATTTGGGTGTTGAGCGAAGCCATGGCTTGGATGTCCGTTGCGTTCAACGAAGCATCGGTGGTGGTGGTGGTACCGTGCACTGCGATGGCGGCCGCAATGGTTACAATGAGAGAGGAGAAGAGGCGCATTGTTAGCAGTATCTGTATGGAGCTCAAGTCGCTGGGGGAAAAATGAGGAGGCCTCCCTCTGATTTATGGGAACGCGTTCAGGTCCACGCAGACGATGGATAGGCCTGGATGAGAGATTTTTACAGTGCCTCGCCGAAGAGTGAATTCATTGTCAATGGTACCTGCAGAGAAGAACAATCAGTTCCTTGATCTTCAAGGAATTTATTCCAAGTACCTGACCAGATGAATGTGAACTCAAAAAAGGTTGGACGCGGCGTTCGTGGCTCTGCACGGTCTTTTGTCGCGTCCGTCAACGCAGCACTTCTCGTGAGAGGAACAATCGTTTTCTCAATTGTGATGCAGAGCGTGCATCTACGAACGTGACCGAGAAACCGAGGGCAAAGTGGCCATACCCAAGTATAGCGTGATCCTCCTTAATTTGAGGTTATGTGCGTGACCCTCAACGCATGCAGGTTACGACAGATTTTGATGTAGGTTAGCCGTAAGCCCTGTCAGTCGAGACGCGTAGGATGACGGGTGAAGTTGGCCGATACGGAAATCTGGCAAGGACTGGGCTGAATCTGTGGGCAAGTTGTAGTCGGGTGCGTCTAATACCTGCTATGGTAAGTAAAAATAAAAAAAGTAGTATCGCTCGAAATCTTGTCTGCTGAATGCTAACAAGTTCAGGATTGCGATGCCACGAATCACCAGTGGCTGCCGAAGAGAAGGTCTTCGGCAACGTCAAAAGTTATGAGCGGAAACGGCCGGCCCGGGGGATCATTCGCACGTTGTGCTGCCGATACCGACTGGACTCTTTTCGTGGTTTCCGAATTCGTCGGATGTCTGCGGTAGAAAAGTTCACAGTAAATAAGCTGAAAGAGTGTCGCGGCTGATGATGAGTTCAACTCACGACGTTACTTATTTGAAACGACTCGTTTCCTGCAGGCGAGAACAAGGTAGTAATGAATGGTTAAAATCCAACTTTCTAGTCTCAAATTGAGAATAAACTGCTATCATCAACCTGGATCCGTATCACTGCGCCTTCAACCATCGATGTCAATGTCGAAGTTGGAAGATGAATAGGAGGTTGGACAAGGTGAGGGGAAGATAAGTATAAAAATTTTGGATTGTAGTAGAAGTGGCGACTCTTGGATTCACGAACAACAACGTGGATGCCAGTTTGACGACGCCATATACTCCAAAAAATACTTCTTTCCACTGCAGATCCTCGCGAGCCAAGCGCTCTTCCTCAGCAACAGCATCGATTTCGGCCATCTCGTGCAGGATTTGCTCAGAGGTGGGTGGAAGTCTTCGCAGCTAGGCAAGGTTCTTGAGGGCACCATCTTTTCGGTTAACTGACGCAAGCCAACGAGGCGATTCCTGGGATTAGATCTTCGTCAGTTCTACATCCAGCACAAGCATTGTGTAGGAATAGGTGCCTTGATAGTCAACAAGCCGAAGGCCATGATACTAGCCGGCACGAGCTGGACCCCGAATAGGATTCTCCATACGTTCTGCCGCTGGAAATGGGTGCCGATACCGTCTTCGGGTGTATCGTTGTTAGTGGATGCTAGTGGTGACAACTTGAAGACACGTACAATTTATGAAGTAGGACAGCATAACTCCAGTGGCCATCATGATCTGGAACATCCCGTTGATTCGTCCTCGAACTTCTTTGGGCGAACACTCGGAGACAAAAGCTGGGGCTACAGCGATATCCCACCTACTTCTACACCAGAGATGACTCGCCTTGCATAGTAAGGTTGAGACTATTTGATGGGGACGGGGCTACTGTAGAATAGCGCTTTTCACGCGCAATAGAGTCATCACTATGGCATCTCATCGTTCAACTGGTATAGTCAACAAAAGTACGGACCGGAGGCTAATTATACGGTAAACGTCCGCTTCAGCTACGTATCAAATAATCTGATCACTAATTCTTGCAATACCCTGCACTATCAGTAATATAGTTGAGGGAGCCATCAGGCTGAGACTGCCCTCCGCGGTTGTCAGCGTCTGCGATGGTGTGACACCTCGAGAAAAGCGCGCAGGTTAATTGCGGACTTCCGTTCTACCAAAGCAATTAACCCCATTCCTTATGTTTATCTGAGAGCGCATACCTTTCCGTGGACGTCATGGTAGGCTGCGTCGTAAAGGTCAGCCACGAAGGAACGAGGGAAAAGAATTACGACGAACTATTGATGAATTGGCATCCAACAACGGTATTGCACATGTCCATGCACTCTAAAACATTGGATCGTCAATTAAAGGTCCCAGGATGTACGAGCTGCAGATTCGTACCCTGGACAGTGTCGACCAAGCCATAAGTCAGATAGTCCCCTGGGACCACGGATCGGACGGCAGCAGTGTAGCCGGTGAAAACCTCTTTGTAGCCGTTCTTCGGAGCCTCTGTGTGGCGGCCGGTGTTAGGGCAATAAAAGCCGCAATCCAACAAGCTAAGGAGTCCACAGATGACCTGCGGCGAATGAATGATCAGCGGAAATTCTAAAATAGCTGTAAGAAATAACTAACGACGTCCTTGAGACAGATGAGAGAGCTCGAAGGATGGTGGTCGCCGTAGTACCATCCCGGCGAGCAACCGGCGTCCCAGGGGGGAACAGGCGCGCCGTAACAGTTGCCTTTGTTGATTTTGGCGGAGAGGGACGCTACGGTCTCGACGTCTGTGCGGTCATCTAGGGAGGCGCCGTGAACCGTGAGGACGACAGCAACAGTTGCGAAGAAAGTGGACAAGAAACGCATGCTCGAGATTCTGGGGAACGAGAGATATCCAGCATCCAGTTTATAGAGACGCGTCCTGGTCGGCACATGGACCAGTTTCCTCAGGGGAGCACGATTTGCTTTTCTGGCCACTATCTCAGCGCGGCGCACAGGGACTAACTCGGAAATGTGCCTGCATTGAAGAGCAGTCAGTTCCTCGATCTTCACGTAAGGTACTTCGACACTTTAACTTGAACTCGCGGCGCTAATTTGAACGCCCCTGTTCTGAAGCTTGAAGCTTGAACGTTCAACTTTTTCGAGTTTTCGTCGAGTTTGCACCCCCTCCCCCCACCCTCTTTCAAGACAATGCAGATGGATTCTCAGAGGGAGCATCTGAACAAGTTCGAATTGATAAGCATCCGCCCGCAAACCTGACCGAGAATCAAGGGAAAAGCGGCAATAGTGAATTATGCCGCGATCCTCTTTGATTTGACGTACAAGCCTGTCCATAATCTTGCAGTAGTAAACGCATCGAAATCGGCAGCTTCTGAACCAATAATTGAAGCATCACGATGTCCGACATTCCCGAAGCGTTGCCACTGATGGTCGACGGCAGAGATTCTCAAGTCTCGGTCGATGATTAGCTTTGAGTGGAATGACCACTCCAGGTAAGTATGAAGGTCTTCGTAGGCCTCGGGAGTTGCCAGCGGACAAAGCTAATGAAAAGGCAAGCGTCGTTAGAAAGAAAGAACCGTTCAGCAAATATTTCCGGAAAGTGGCATGTCCAATGGTGCGAGGAAAACGACGGATTGGAAGCTCACCTTTGTGGCTCTACGGCGCTGTGATAGGCGGCTTGTATTTACTTGGACACTGTGACAGAGGTGGACGAAAAGGCAGGTCACCTTCATCTTTTCACGTCGCCTCCAGTGATTAATCTCCAATCTAGGCATATTATCCAGCAGACAGTTTGTCCTGGACCAGATGACCAAGTAGTGGAACACTAAAGATTCAAGACAGCAGGGCGTAGCTCTCCTTGAGCCTCCTTCCACAGTATGGAACGACTCTTCATCGCTTTCCGAAGGCCAATCGTACGATAAAGAAAGGCACGCAGGGCATGAGAAAATCTTGGCATCTCCCCGTGGATTTCCGGATTGAGACAGAAGCTGGAAGAAATGCGGACCCGGAAACGGAAATGTGCAACAAGTCAAGCGTATGATCATACACGGTCAGCGGAAAATGACGGGAAAAGCCGAAGATAGCTCACTGAGTGGCTTAGTCCCTAGTCTAGGCTTTCATTTAAGGAGTTCAGAACCGTAGTGAATAACTCAATCGATTGTAAGCGCTTACGAGCAGGATATTTTCGTTAGATAGTATTAATATCACGGAACCGACATTACAGACCACGGAAGCAAAAGATGAATGCGTCATGGATACCTAACAGGAACATAACATTACGGCCCAGGGTCATTTCCAGTTGGTTATAAGCGGAGAAGATCATACTGAAAATGATAGACCTGGCGGATCAAGAATATTGCACTGGCTTCTATTAAAGATGAGAACCCGGCGGGTTCATTTTCATCTGCTGTTGGCTAGGCTCTAGCTCAGTGGAAATAAAGCTCTGGAACCTGTCCGATAGATGATCAATTAATGGAGCCTGTCGGTAGCGCGGTTTCAGCCTGCGGGAATTGTGAGAGTATCAGTGTCGTTGATTTAAATAACTTTTGGAACGAGGTCGTGATGGAAGGAGTCTGACACGTCAAACAATCCAAATTTAGTCATCACCGCTCACTATTTCATATACAGTCACGAGGCTTCTACTCGATCGTATCGGATCGATCGGAGGTAAGTGTCGCAAAAAAAAATTTCAACACTCTCTGGAACTTGGGTGAACATCCGATAAAAGAAAACAGGTCACTAACGGCTTTATTTTCTTAGACGGCTGCGAGTTGCATTAACCCATATTTCACTAAATTATATCCAGAAGAGTAGTATGGTAGCCTGGATCTAGATGGAACTCGGAATCTAATCGCAAAAAGCACTGCTACACATTGATAAAAAGACATTCTCTGGGGGAAGCTGAGCAGAGAATTTAAGGGTTTGTTCGTTCAACGGTCGCTGGGAAAAGGGCAGAGCAAATGACACATTGGCCGTTTGACTCTTGCTATTGAGGAACCTCCCATGGATTCGAATAAACATGGGAGGAAGACGATAAGGACCAAGGCCGAAAGTCTGCCGTTTGTCCGGCACGCCGGCAAGTTCATTCAGAAACCTTATTTCCAAATGGAAATTACCCGCTTGCCCGACACCGCCACGACCGCCATCGTTCTCCTCGACGCTCACAAGCGCGTTTCCTGACCTTGTACACCCACCATCTCTGTTTCCAGCATTATCAAGATTCTGTGTGCCAAGAATTGTGCCCCAGGAAACCTCGTATCCATGTTACGTGCCTACGAGGACCGATGCCCGACTCTTCACAAGCAATCTCTGACGACACAGGAAATCAACTGACATCCAGCTACTCTCCCAGCTACGGCGATGTTAGAGGCATCTAGTTATGGGTGAACGGTATCCTGGTGATTGCAGCCGGATATTGGGGTGTAGGAACAAATGATTAGGCAACCAGCAACGTGAAGTGCAACGGTGCAAGAGGTACGGATTTCTTCCCATACGAGACGTTTCCTGACTTGCGTTAACTCAGGCCAATAACTATCCTGTAGCTAACGGACCAAGACCAGACGAGGCGTGCCGCGGTTAGAGGTACGTTGTCGTTGTCCATAATGGTTCGGCCAGCTTATTTGATGTCAGTTGGCTCCGGATAGATAACGTTGCTATTATGTCGCCTATCTACGAGTTTTTGGATTCTCAGCGCAATATCATCCAACCCCTACGGCGCGCGCAGAAAGGCTGAAGAATCGCATGGAATGGACCCCGTTCTCACAAGGAGTATGACATCGACGCTATAGAATCAGCGCAGGTTGCTGCGAGACAATGTCATGTTCTGGACCATGACGAGCTCGGGCTATCTTCTACCTAAGCGCGCTAGTGGCCGAGGTCTGTGCCTGTTGCTCGTAATCTTACTTGACGCCGACCTTGCTATAGATAGTACCGCCTGTTACCATCCCTGCCGCTTGCACACCAACCATTCAATCGACTTACAGCACCCTTGGCCTACTCTAGTCCAGAATGGCGAGCGTAAGGCGTGTTATCAGCTCTTTCCCATTCAATGGTATCGGCTATGATTGTTCATCACGCGACGCAGTGCTCTCTCCCCCTTCCCTTATCCCCGCACCGTATGATACATGTCTGTGCTTTCGTCGTTCCTTTTTTTCATTTGGCTGACAACAACACTGGTAGATATGCAACAGCGTCATTACAGTATCATTTGAATATCGTGTTTGCCGCCCGTTGTCTTGTTACTCGGGCGCAGGCCTTTTAGACAACAAGAGCTATCTACTGTCATTCCTCATTCCCGATATGTCGTTTGGGTTTCTTCTTGGCTTGTAGTCATTTTTCACGCCGCATACGTGCTGGGCGCACCAACTTGGCATTCTTTCCTTCCTATCCGTATGCGTATCCACTTGTACCCGAACAGCCAACTTACTTCCTGAACACAGCGACGTACGTATTCATTCGGTGGTCTCCCCGATAAAGAACCTGTATTTACAAAGTCGGCTATCAAGATGTTAACCAATCGCTCTCGATATCACAGACTCAATGTTTTGATGTTTCTGTCCTCCTGCTTATTTTATCCAAGACGCGGCTAGCGAGCCGTATGGTTCCATTTCACAGAATTTATCCAGACAGCGTTCTCATGTAATACTGCGCACTTGGACAAGCAACAGGGAAAGCCGCCGAGAAACAGAAGTTGTGTCAGCTGTTTTATCAATTCTGAGATGTGACAAGCAAAAAAGTCCTGACCCACGCCTCAATCGCCTCCGCCTTGTCGGATAATTCAAAAACAGCGGGCTGTGCTTTCCAGCAGTGATGGTGATCGAATAATTCCCTCGCCAAGTAGGTTCCCGGGTCTATGGCCTGCAACAATGCTTATCAAGTCCTAGGTATTGGGCTGGAATTAACGTGTTTTCTTTGCTTGGGTCGTGATTATTGCCCTGGGACAAGAACATCGTGCTTCATGCGCCGAGATTGTTCTTCGGCGAACTGCGGGTCCTGCAACTTTTTCGATTATCGAAGTGCAGTGTCTCGTGCATTATCACTCTTAATCGGGCCTTCTGTTGATGATGCACTGCTATCTAATATATAGTTATTGTTTTGCAGCAACAGCGGTCTGATCTGCACGTTGGGAACGTTCCATCTGCTGGGGACAAGTCACTGGTCTCCGCCACTTGCGCCTCAGGACATGGGAATAAAAAAGGAAGTATTTGACGCGGCCTCCACTCTTTGATGGAAAGAAAACAATACAGAACATATCAACACGTTCGTCCTCCGGTTCGGGAGGCATCGTCGCAACGATTCCAGTGCATGTACGATCTCGTTATCCCTAATTCAGAATGCTGATGTTATTCCGCTCCTCAAGTACCCGTCCTAAAACCCTCGGAAACAGAGCGACCAAACATGCCTGACGTACAAGAACCCGCGCAGTGCCACACTACAACTCTTCGAAAGAGCGTAACGGCGACACCAGTAACTTGCGCATGGGAACGACATCATGTTTCCTCGCATCCAACACCTGGCGTCAGATAGCCTCATGGGACACTCATTCAGGGTCGACTGGAGTTAAAAATGCCGCGTGCATGCTATTCTGTTGGTGCATGTACGGCTTCCGTGACTTCCGGAGATAGATCATTACTCTCCAGGCAGGGATCTTTTTGCCATTATAGATCGTACGCCTGACGAAAGATCAGATTAATGTCGTTGCATGACCGTTTGTCGCTCTTCTGGAGCCGACGGTAACCCGCTGACGCGGCGATACGCTGTAAGAACATTCTGTATCTGTGATTTCTCTTCCAATCTTTCGCTCATGATCCTGATAGTGGCTTTGATACCGAGTCATATGAGAATACCTTCAATCACAGAGGCGTCAGAAAGGAATTTCTGACCGTACCTAAGACTATGGTGCTGTTTTTGTTCATGTTTTTTGGTTGTTATTGTTTCATTTAGTGCCGCTTCAGTTCTGACGGTGTCTCGCATCAATCAACCCGTTTGCTACACACGCGGCCTGTAAATTGAATCAGATCTAGCGCAGTGATGCAGCGTGTTAGCACCAAAGCCTCGAGGATCTGTCGCTTCGCCTGCCATTTGAGGGCAGAAAGATCTCGGGCTTAAAGTTGTCTTTGTACCTTGATAGCTACCTAAAGCGTTGTCGCCGCAGTTCCGCGATGTAATAAAGTTGCTTTATGCAGGCTCACTTAATGAAAGCAATTGGAAATAGGGGTCACGGGGATGTGCTCGGGGGACGTATCCTTTTCGATGAGAGAATACACTTTTCGACTCATGCTTTTCTTTCCACATACAGTTCACTTTAAGAGTCGCCGATTTGCTGGTCTCGACGATCAGAACATTTTTATGGAAGATACGGTCACGTGCATAGATAAGATCGCTAAATTGCAGATTCGAAGCTTTTAACGTTCATGGCGCGCTTTCCAGGCGTGATAGGTGAAGTAAGTCTATTTAAATATCTGCCATGCTCTATCAAAATCGTACGAGTCTACGTAGAAGCAACACAGCAAAAGAAGACTGCAACATCTAACCCCGAGGTACCCAGACCTTCTGAAAGTTCGGAGTGTTTAGTTCAAGAACGTTGTATTCCGCCAGCTAACTTGCAATGATAGCAAAGAGAATCGACTTTCTTGGTCACCACGTTCTGCGATGGCCGTAGCCTGTCGATGTTCGTCAGCAGATGATCAGAGATAGAACTAGCAAGGACAGTTAACCAACCACTGTCGGCAGCTCTTTCTGCACTCGTGATTGATAGGGTAGTGGTGCGAGCTATATCTGCACTTGCTGGACCCACAGTCGATCTGCAAATGGTGAGTCAGATACTAGCAGTTTTAAAGGAAGGTATAAAACGACTGACCCGCAGATCGCCGTGGGGAGCGTCGTGTCCACAGACAAATCTGGTAGAGCTAATTCTGCGATGGCACATATCGGAAGGGGCGTTCGTTCGATGTCGACTTCAGTTCGTCCCAGGCCCACTTTTATAGGCTTCCAGGAGTGAAGGTATGACAACATCATAATTACTTAGTATGCCATGACCTGGACTGGAAGCAAGCCGGCGCACTGCGCCATGGAAATTACCGAGAAACCGCTGTTGTTCTTCGGATTATATCTGGCAACTCCTTCCGGAACACCATCAAGCGTTGTGGCATGCCAAAACGCGTCATCAGTACACAGAAACGTGTTATGCCACACATAGCGTGCGTTAGTATCAGTCATCGTTTGAGTGGGAAACACTCACGAGGATCCTGGAATACAAAATCCGAGTAATTTTGATTGATATTCATGGGTCCTCTCAGCGTTTCTTGACACCTTCTACAACTGGCCGATCCAGTTTGGCCGCTTCGCCAGACGGTCAGAGCTGATTACATCGACACTTTCGAGCAGCGACAAGTACATGAACAAGGACAGTTAGCTCGCTAGGGCATACTGCGCTGTCGTAGAGATCGCCCTACGGATCATCGATGAGGGCTCACTGGCTCTCACTTGCCATTGTCGAGCTCGCCACTGTCCTTCGTCCCTTCACGCCGCCGCCTACTGATGCTATTGACCCGATAGATACTCCGTCGTCACGGTCCACCTGCATGTCGCCTCGGGTAGCACGGCATACACGTTCCATCCTCACGGTCGTCGTCGAGGGCGGTGCAAGCAATATCGAAACACCATCCTGGCGGCTACTTGCGCCGAAAACGTCTCTCTAATACAGAGCAGATCTCTGGGTGGTAGCCCGACAAGTAGGAAGGACGCCAAAGACACGATAAAGCGGTCCATCGATTATTTACCACGGTCGAGGACATTGCTCGCGGAGGGTGTTTCGCTGACGTACGTACGGTTTGCTTCAGAAAGCTCAGTTTACCGCCCTCTTGACGCTAACCTTCTGCTTAGACTGTGATACTGTCTGACATTATCTCTGCTTCCTAGTTACCCTAGGGCTGAATGATTTCCCAGCACCCTAGGCGTGAAGGCTTTCCCAGAAGGGAGGCGGCGATCATCCATCCGGATGCTCCCTGCCAGTCGTGTGTCTTTGGGTCTAGGCCAAGTCCCAGAAAGGTGCGTTATTTAATCAGGACTTGGTTGCTAGCGTTGTGAAAGAGTTGTCTTCAAGGCATGTCATATGGGCGGCGCCAGGAGGGAACCGAATGTTCGACTTCTTGTATTCAATGTCCTGCAATATGGCCTGTAAATGCACGAGCCCGTTCTTGGGCCGTGAGCAGTCACGCATTGTTTATTGGTATTCTACATGTGGCTGGTGTGAAAAAATTCCACATTCTGGGTAAATTACCACGAGACGTACCAAAATAATAACAGAGAGCCATATATGTATGTGACACGAAGAGGTTTATGTCCTGGAACGTAGGGGGCAATCACCGAGTGATTACGGAACAAAAGTCTTTAACCACGTCCACCCGGAGCTTGTGCCGTGCTTGTATACCCGGGAGCATATCCTCCATATACTCTTTCAGTCTCAATCCGTCATCTTCTATGGAAAGATCGGTACAAAGCACCATACGAAAGCTCCGCAAGGTGAAAGGAACCTTTTCTGCGGATGCTCTATCCAAGTTCATCCAAGTGTACCTTGCGAAGTCTTCGTTATTGTTATCTGGATCGCCCGGATTCCTGGCGAGTATCATATAAGATGGTGACTCTTTCCAAGGAGGGGCTTATCACAACACATCTAGTCCACCATCGTACTGCGTAGAGATGGGAGTCATCTGGGTACCAGTTGATTTGTAGCACAAAGGTATGGATTTTGCCCAGAGATAGAGGATTTCGCATTCCTAAATCTATATATACATAAGAGAAAGATCTCTGTGATTAGATACCATATAACTACTAACCAGCGGGCTGGAGACCGGTGACACGCAGCACTGGAAGGGATAGTGTTTGCATCAGCCTTTCAAGGTGTGAAATATTCTGCGGACAGAACACGGTTGATATAATACGCAAGCTTTTCAAGGATATTAAATCCCCATTAGCGAAAGCTTCTAGAACTGGGCCATCACGCAGATTGCAAGACAGCTTCAGGTCATGGACACGAGGGCACCTGACAGCGCCGTTCGAGTTTGGCACAGCCCGTCCTACCAACCTAATGGCGTAAATTTTCGCCCTCTTCAATGAGGTAAGATAGGATAAGGAGGAGCTGAAATGAACGATATCTAGAAACGTGACCCCTGCTAGAGTGATGCTTCGGATAGACGAAAGAGTGGAGAAGCAGTGGTAGGGAAGTCCGTCAAATTCGACGGAGCGAAAGGTGGCGGAATGGAGGTTTACGAACGACCCAAGAAGCTTAAACTCGAGAAGCGTTTGAAAGACGTTGGTGGTGTAGACATGTAACACGGCGACGCTTCGGGATATATACAACGATTTCTGACATACATCGCAGAAGTCGATACAATGCTTCTCGTTCACAAGAGAAATAGTGAGAAAGGTATGTTCCCGAGACCTGGCGCAGAAAGCGTGACAAGTAAGGGAGCAAGCTTTTAGCGCCTCCGGATCGTTGTGAAGTTTATCCACCATGTCGGCGACCAATTCCTGTGGCAGTTCTGACATAACGAGATGGAATATCTACGAGAGTGTTAGTTCATTGAATGTAAACGTTCAGTCGACCAGGCTATTCTCCAAGCCCACCTTGTAAAAGAGTTCGTTGAAGGTCACAACTTGGCTACGACAGTCACGACTGAGCAGTCTCACAAGTTCCCTAAGTCAAGTAAGATCCAATAAAATTTGAGCAAGTTCTAGAAGCCATGGTTGTCAGAAAAGCCTGAGGCAGCATATGATGAACGAAGCAGCGTTGAATAGTACCGTAAAAACCGAGAGGAAGTTTTATTTCCAGAGTACAAGAACGAGCATGGATTGGCAGCCAGAGATTTACCAGATAATCCGAATCTGGGCCAAGTAATAAGAGAAGTTTTAGATTATGGTTTACTTTCCAGTTGTCACTTGTGGCGGAGCCAACCACTGCCAATGAGAAGGATGAAGGGGCATCGGTCCGGAATGGATTTGAATCTATCAGCGCTCGTGGCACGTGACCCTATCCTTCCACCAAAATTTAAACTCTCGGACCGTGTGTATTTGGATATCCTTATCTAAATGGGCTTGTATCTTCTTACAAGGCTTCTACCGAAGAAATATGGCATCCAAACGGCTCAAATTATCCGCCTCAGCAGTTGCTCAGCGGATGAAGGTGCATCCAACAATCCAACTCGACAGGAACTAAGAGCCGGCGTGCCCGTTCGCATGATACACGGCTTGTGGACATGCCTTTTAGAAATATATTTTGAGGTCAATACATTTACTATAAGGGATTAAATGTTCACAGTTACATAAAGATCAACGACTTAGATATTTGCTTATCGTCATCACCAAGATCTTCTTGGTCCTGCGCGGACAGCGAAGGGCTTTCGTCCAGTCCTGATAAACAAATCTTTATTGAATGTATAGAGAACTGCACGGAAATAAAATTGTCAATACCGACACCTGGATTGTCCGAACCGGCTTGGGTGAACTTGCTGTACGATACGGTCTCAGGTAGCGTAAGTAACTTAGCCTACGGTATTATCTTGATGCGAGTTTTGCTCACTGTGAATATATTTGAAACTTTGTTACGAGAACACCTCTCGCCCGATTGAATTTGCACTCAGCGTTCGTGTCTTCCCCAAATTTTATCAGGGTGGGTAAGCGCTTGCCACTGTACCTATTGCATGTGCTAATCTATTCCAGCACCGGTATCATGTCGCTAGATGATATTCTTCAGGATAGCACTTCTAAGGTATCCTGGATCTGCTTCCTTCCGAGCCTGGAAGTCAGTATGTGTGTTTAGTGTATCCTGCTCGATTGAAACGATTTCCAAGGCAAACCTTATAAAGGCGTGGCTATATACTTAGTACTTACAAAGAGACGTTGAAGAAGCCAACGCTTGCTGGCTTTCGCTTCGAGAGCGAAATTTACATGTAGAGGCCCGGGGGAATGGTGAAGGTAGAGTAGTCCTATTTGAATTTCCGATCATCTATTTTTCATTGACGACTATGCGTAGCTCGTCAGAAGAAACCATGATTGGTTTCGAGCTGTAAGTTCTCAGGGAGGAGATGAATTAGTAAAAGTGCAAGACGAGAGGGTACGTATAGATTTTTTGAAGAGAAGGCGACGCACATCTCGGAATGGACGACATACAGTGCTCTTACCGACATCTGCCTTGCGTAAGCGATTTCATTTCACCATGTTACCGTGTTCTTGGTCTCAATTGTCCTTAGAAATATCCCCTTTGAATTGCGACAATTTTGGAGAAGAAGGAATACCAATTCAGGCTCACGTTGGGTGCCATCGATATGGAAGTTCGTGGTCCGCCGTGTTCATGACCATCAGCTGACAGTCCCTTCTCTAGTATACTCAGAGAAGAAGCTGACTTATTTGTCCGTAATTGACGCGGTACATTCATGAACAGTTTAGTGGTCCTCGGTGCATCATGCGCCCTCACCGACGTTCATATTTAGTCCTTTCGCCTTCGCAGTGTCCTCAAACGGCGTCAGCATTGCTTCTTATATGATCTGAAAAACACAATAGTCTCCAAAGCCATAGCCTCTCGGGCGTTCCTCCCGAGCCTTAGCTCGGTTCATTTTTCCTTTATCCCCGGCATTCTCTTCCTTACCGTTCGACCAAAACAGTGTCAGCGCATCTGTCATGGCCAGAGCTCCAGTCCTTTCGTCCCCTCTCCTACCAATACAATCGGCATCGCAATTGTCACGCTGGCGGGTAGATTTCTGTACCGACATAAGTGCAGAGATTCAATGTGCCAGAGATTGCTCTTGGGGATGGTCCATCGATAGCGGTCTCCTGTCCAGATACCGTGACGACTGCTCATGGCGAAGTATGCTGGGAAACGGCCGTCGCAGATGCTGTGTCTAGACATCCAAGAAAACCGAAGGCATTGAAAAAGTGACGTCGAACCTTGTTTACGAGAATATTGTGCTGCCACTGGTCAACGCACCTCAAGTACAGAATTTACCGGTTCGTGACTGGACACGCCGAAACACCTCATTGAGAAAAATCTGCGAGAATGCTCCAGAAGTCGGTCGTAAACTATCATGAACTGCCAGCGCTTAAACTTATTGTAGCCAAGCAATTGAATGGTTACTTAGTTTTGCACATATAAGCATCTCGGAGTTGTAGGAAGGGAAGGTTAGTATGGAACTATGAACCTGTGATAAAGAAAGTGGGAAGCAAAATTACGCTCACCCTCTGCTACCGAAGAACTGATGATGGGATTCACAGCCTGCTCTACAAAGGCAGCTGCGAAAATGGTAGGAGACTCCGCAACAGTAGGTATCATCCAATCCTGGTGGGCCTTCTTCCTCGACGACCCCGAGAATATCCATTTCCATCCTGTCTGCTTTTCACAGATCGATTTGTAGCGATGGCAAGTATCACACAGCCGTTTGCTAGACCCTATAGTGTCCTCCAACACCTGAATCTTCTCCACATCGAGATAATGCATCATTGGAATCTGCGGGTGTGGTCGCACAGTCACAGTCCCTCCTACAATCCAAGAGGGATCGATCTTGAATAGTGGCCTAGGCGTAGAATAGGCCTTTAGCCATTCCTCGAGCTCTTCATCAGTGTATGTAATGGACTGCCGACGGAGAATTCCTATAACCACGTCTCGCAGGGACATGAGATAGTCGACAACTTTCGGCACTATGCCAAGTTTAAGCCCCACTCATACGTATTCCAGTGTGCCTTGACCGCCACAGAGGGAACGAAAATGGGTTGGCCCTACTTTTGCGAAACGGACCGCATCATGGTGGTACGGATACACGTGCCACAGACGGCGGTAGAGGAGCTGGATCCAAACATCGATTAATAGCATCGTCGAAGAAATCCGAGTTAATGAGGGCAGAACACAGGGACGTCATTCGGGAGAAGTAACGGAACTTGAGATCATGGCTCTCCGAAGCCAGAGTAGCGTGTTCCAGATCGGAAATGAAGTCAAAGGCGACCCTCAGCATGGCGTTGCTGTCCCCATTTGAAAGAACTACAGCCAAGCTGTTGATGCGTTTGGGCGATTCACTGCCCTGGTTTGTCTGTGAGCGCCACTCGGCCCAGCTCTTCAGCAGTGTGTACTTCACGCTTGTTCAGAACGGCTGTAAATCGTAGCAAACGCGCTTTCCGTAAGAATCGCATCCAGACCGCATCCACGATAGCATGCTCGATGCGATCGATGTCATGTGAGAAGCTGAGTTATTCGTTATTTTCAGCCTGCTCGCTCTGACGATGGAGAATGTCGCGAGCGATGGAGAAAAAGTTATCCACATGGTCCAGATCAGCTTGATCAGGGATTCCTTTGTCTGCAGCGATATGGAGAGTAACAGCATTGTTGTAGAAGGATACTGCAACGGAAACGGAATGTCCATCTTCGCTCCGGGCGAAGCAGATGGCGAGCCAGTTCATAAACTCTAAGATATCAGTCTGTTTTTCATCGATGTTTAGAATGATGCCAGAAGCAAGGATTGAACCACCGCTGCTAACATGTCGCGGCGTCAGGTTGAGATATGAAAGTAGCTCTTGTTGTTTTGTCTATGAGAAATCATACATGGACAGAGTGTAATCAGTACCTGTGACATTATTTGCCAGGAGAGTAGGAGAGAAAAGAGGCGATGAAGTACCCGACCGCACAAAGCCGGAAGGTGGATGGTCAACCATATTAGGGCATCACCGCTTAAGCACCCACGAAGCATAAATGTGAAGCAGCTCATGAGACCAGTCAGACAGAACAAAATGTTATATTACTGAGGGAAGTGTTGGAAATCAGGCAGATGGGCATGAACGAAGCACAGCGAGCGGTCGTCGTGGTGGTCAAAAGGATAAATTGATAAGGTACCAAATGTCACACAATCAAGTAGTAATCAGGCCAAATATAATACGGGTATATACCAAGTTCGATCTTTAACAGGAAGTAAAATAAATGTCTTGTATATAATCAGATGCAAAGACTCAAACAGAGCAGTGGTGGGCCACTCTCTAACACTTTTCCTTTCGAATTTGTTTCAGCCAGCCCTTCACCAACGTGATCTCTGCATACCACCCTTCCTCAGAGCATCAGCTCGAGAAAGTGTGTCCACCTTGAGCTTGTGTCCCTGTCGGACGCTTATAACAGCGGACTTCAAACTGTAAGCTCGCCCTTCGAGCATATCCATGATGGCGCCCTCATCTACATTACCCGACCAGACAAGTTGTAAATGTTCCATTTACGTCCCGAGATTTTATTATCAATCCAAGTCTCATTTGAGCGCGATACCGGACTAGGCCCGATCAACGCTGCATAGGACAATTTATATGTCAGAAATGATCGACATCAGATAGATGAAAAAGTTGTCAAACTGTTGTGGCCAGATCGATGACGGACTCCAATAGGGATGTGACGCTCTGGAGATTGTCACCGCCAGCACACCGCACTGAGGAGATCAAGCACTGCTATGAGCGGTATGCCAAGCAATGTCTGCCAGCATCGACGATATATAGTACGCGGGACGTTTATCTTCACTTTTCTTGTCCTCAATTTGCTACTCTCAAGGGCATGACACGTCGCTTACAAAATGCCCATTCTAACGTCCAGACAACCAGCAGGAATAAGTGTATTTTTTCATGGGCCAAAGTGCGTACGGACATGCTATAATACGTACCCTATGCTAATGTAACGTGCAGACATCTGAGCGTATCTGGGACCTGACATATATCTTCTCGTATACTCGATGCCAGTTTCACAGGCCGCCAAGCATCCTGAATAACAACCATGCTCTTTCTCGCGGTGCTCAGTCGTACTATCATGCTACCAACAGTCAGCTTCACGAAAAGGAATATAGAGACTTCGATGCGCTGAGTACCATTCTCTGGATCGATAAGCGTACTGATGTATCCGCGAAGCATCGCCATCCCGTCGTGAATAACGTTGAATAATATGTATATCTCATGATGGGGCTTCAGGAAGGAATCGGCCAGCCTTTCATGGCAAAACTAATAGTTTTTCGCTCATAGTCTTTGGCTCTTTCGTTTGGCCATAAAGGCTGCAGACATCGTCAATTCGTAGAACCGAAGAAGACCTGATTGGGCCCGGGCTAGCGGTAAAACGCGCGCTTCGTCTCGGGCTTGGGCCCCATGATGCAGTGAAGGAATCGGCCATATTGCGGGGATCTTTGGCGTAAAGTATAACTACCTTGGTGATGGTCGTCGCCAAAAGGAAAGCCCGTTAAGGGCAACCAGACGGCACGAAACATTTCAGTCTTTACTTATCATCATCGTCATGGTTCAACGCGGAAGCTGCATAGTGGTATTTGTACCGAGGTATGTCCTTCCATGTTTGTTTTCCCCGATATGGCAGCTAAGAGTAATTTTGGTGCAGTGTTAGGGTACCTCGGAACCAACAGGCTGGTACTCATAATTACGCCGACATCGATTTTTTGAAGAGAACGCGACGCACATCTTGGAATGGACAACATACAACGCTCTTACCGACGTTTGTCTTGGGTAAGCGATTTCACATCATCATGTTACCGTGTTCTTGGTCTCAATTGTCCTTAGAAACATCTTCTTTGAATTGCGACAATTTTGGAGAAGAAGGAATACCGATTCAGGCTCACATTGGGTGCCATCGATATGGAAGTTCGTGGTCCGCCGTGTTCATGACCATCAGCTGACAGTCCCTTCTCTAGTATATTCCGAGGAGAAAAAGGCGACTTGTCTGTAATCGACGCGGTACATTCATGAACATTCTAGCGGTCTTTGGTGCATTATGCGCCTCATCGACGTTCGTATTTGATCCTTACGCCGTCCCCAGTGTCCTCAAACTGGGTCAGAATTGCTTCTTATATGATCTGAAAAACATAATAGTCTCCAAAGCCATAGCCTCTTGGGTGAGTTAAAGGTTAAAAGCAGAAAACTAACTTGAACAGTTTAAAATCAATATAAGCTCCTTGTGATATTGTAACTTACTAGATTAATGTCATATACATAAATATTGATGCTGAAATTAAAACCTTTTAAGGTCCCATTTTAAGCTATTGGGAGCGTCGACACGGTCCGGTTCCTCCGAGATCACATGCTGCATTGCCGTAGATTCCCGCTTGTTCGTAGCTACAACCGAGACCATCACCAGCCATTCCCGATTCCCTCTCTTGGACCTAGCGATACGGTTCCACTGCACCAGCCTCAGCAGTGATATCAGTAAGTGAACAAATATCAAGACTGAGTTTAAAGGCACTGCGGCCCCTCAAATGTGCAATATCATCTCCCCTCACACTCATTTCATCTTGGTTATGTGTCGGTCTGCCTTCGTCTATGAATGTTGTGCTAAGCATGACTGTTGTACGCACCGGCGAACTTAGATGACAACTAACAGCCTTTGTCTCAGACACTGCAGCCTGGGAAACAACAGTCAGTGCAATGTCTTCACATTAAGTTTCCACACTATATAATCTCCACATCATGCAGATTACCCATCTTTAACGCATTATGGACAGCTCTCAAATTTCTTCAATATTATTACTATATGGGAAAAAGTACGAAAAATAGATCTATAATGCGAAAACGGAGTCGTGGCTTAGAGTTCCTTAGAGCCGTTCAAACCGATTCACGTTACGCAAATCGAAAACCTGCCTGGGACAGCTCGGCAACCGTACACGACCCATGCTCGCAGAATCTTTCGTGTTCACGTCAGGTTCGGGCGTTTCGAACAACGGCATGGTGAAGTTGACCGGTTCTAAATGCACAGATTATGAACTCTTGAATCACTTGGTGGCTTTCGAAGGCTTTAACGCGCACATGAGGTGTTACCAAATGCAAGGTTCTGGAAGGTCTCTGAAGCGGAGTTTGAAGAGGTGTTTTCATCTGAGACACTACCATTGCATCTATGAGTTGACGGCGAACTGTAGAACGTGCGTGGTATGCATTTGTTTTCACATCACCTCTCTGAAAATTGTATTTATTGTCAGAGTTCCCGCCATGAACTGGCCGACAATGGATTGTTAGGAAGATTGACCACGACAGAAGGAGGTCTGTGGGGCCATGCCGACGCTGCCTGCGTCACCTTCAATGTCACCTACATGGCTCCTGATTCTTGAAACGACGGAGTATGCATTTTCCCTTGACTCAGGATGTTCGATTCTGACCATCGATTATCAGCCTTGACGTTCACGCGAACCAACCTTCATTGACAGCCGAGAATCGAGGAGATTATTATATTAATTTCCGAAGCGCTTTTCATCAGACGAGATGGATTCAATCCTTATGTTGTCTCGGGTTTTCCATTCAGCGACACTGTTAGAAGAGATCTGTCATTCTCTCTCATCAAGATTTCAAGAATAACTACCTGGTGCCGCTATCATCAAACCACTCTACAAGCGCCACCAGTTTCTCTAGGCGCAACTATGCGATGCCCTCTAGAGTGGATTCAAGTTCAACCTGGATAACACGACGGCTGAGTTTCGGAAGTATTTTGCCCAAAATCCGAGCGAGGGCGCTCCATGGCGGAGGAGATACGTTCCTGGACCCTAGAAGAGTCTTACCCCCAAACAGCGCAGCCCAAGACCAGATGATTCCGTTTGAATACCAGTCTCTCTGGTGTGCGCGTCCTGTGGACGTCAGATCCGTAAGCATGTGCCTTACATGTGTGTAACCTGCGGTAATAACAACAGCTTCCATTCATCCCGCATTTCAATCTTGTGTGCGCGTACTGTGGATGTCAGATGCGTGAGCATGTGCCCTACATGTGTATAACCTATGGTAATAACGACAACTTCCATTCATCCTGTACTTTGACCTAGATGTCAAGACAGGACAGGAAAGGTCGCCCGCAAATCTATAAAAGCATCCCGCATTTCTCTCTGTGACCATTAACTTAACCCAACTGCCATCCAACCCAACATCTTATTGCATATCATGGCTGGAGTGAAAACTTCTTGGGAAGATCTGTCCAATCTTGGCTGGCATAAGCAGCAGGTTTACAACACACTCAATGCCCAGCGCGGAAATACCATGCAGGGCCTCGGAGACATCGCCCTCAACGAGGGTTTCGCCGAAACCTGGAGGTCTGTGGACAGCGTCTCTTTTTCCTTAGGAAGCTGACTCTGTCGTCCCGCAGCTGGTACTGTTACAACGTGACCAAAGGCGATCCGTACGTCGTCGGTAACAGTGTCGACAATGCCACAAAGACGACGACTGTCTGGTCTTATGACAATCGCAACAATTCGCAACCGTTTACCACACGCTGGACCGAAACGTGGTCCACAACATCGACGGCGTCTCTGACTGTAACTCGTAGTTGTCAGTTTTTATGCATTTCTTTGGTTTTGCTTAAGGCTGACGACGTTTTTGTATTATCAGCGTCGATCAGTCTCACGTGGTCGGTCACTATTGGGTCAGTGGCTGGTTCCGATTTTTCCATCAGCAGTTCCAATGAGACCTCGTCGACTCAATCGAAGGAATCGACGCACACCTTGCAAAATGACTGGGAGATCACGTAAGTCCCACCGGATCCTGGCTGTACGGACGAAATTGACATGTGTTCATGCAGTGTCGGTGCTGGGGAGACTCTCTCGATTCTGAGGACTCAGTTAACTACGAACGGAAAATCGGTCTATAACCTGGTCAGTGCTAATTCCGCCTTCAGATTCGCTCCTTTGTTGAAAATCTCCTCTCAGAAATATGGTCTCAACGATGGCGGTCTTATTGCCAGTGAGTAATAACGTGCTTCGCTCCTTGTGTCAAGCTGATATGCTTTGGCTTGTAGCCAAGGGTAACCAGTGAGTATGCATCGCTAGATGTCAGAGTCCTCGTCGAGCTAATGCGTTTATCAGATACAATGGCCACTACTACTGGGTAAGTTTTTTTTTCCGTTTCTGAGTGTTCATTACGCTTAAGCTGTTATTTATAGGGTTTCTCTGCGAACTATTACCTGAATTATCCCGAAGGTACCATTGCGTTCGACGGGTTGAGCCAGAGCAGCAGCTTCTCTCATGAGATCGTCCGTAATGACGGCGCTCAGAGAGCTTCGAAGTCGGTCGTCAAACTTGTCAAGCCCACTACTATCATCAAGGTCGAGGACGGGAAGAAGACTCCAATTCAGGTCGCTTTCCCTGCTGAAAACGACACTCCTCCGAAGGACTATCAGTAGTTGCACCACCAATTGTTTCTTCCTTTTCCTTTCTTTCGTCTCCTAAAAAAATTAAAACCCCGCAAAAAAAGTTTCTGATTTCCAATTGGCCTCGTTAACAATGCGATCTGCAGAGCTGGAGCATATGGAACTGGGTAGCATTAGGCTGATTTGTACGATTATATACGAGTTGAATATCGAGACGGCGTGCTATGTGTTTACCAACTTGGGATGTGTTTGAGGGTGCTCCGACTTCGACGCTACGATCTTTACTCATGGCAACACCGAATTCAAAAAAAAAACAAATATCTCAATGAACACCCAGAGTGATGTGTGCTGTGCGGCTCGATTTCGAGCCTCCGGTGAGGCTGCAAGGTCACGGTGATTTGCGTTTTGTTCAATGTCTTGGCGGCGGCCAGCATGTGCTATTTCAATTGTTCCATGACTACGTCCGGGGCATCAATCAACAGAGAGGTCATCCCCCCATCCAACTTCCAAGGTCTGGGTTGAGTCATCCAAAGAACAGGTCATAAAGACCATACCGCTTGCGCGGGACACGGTCGAGCATCTGCTTAATCGGAGCCTCAGAACCCTTGTCCCCCAAACCCTCCATTCTGAAGAATGTTTCTCTCCCTCTCCATCCCTCAGTAGTCCCTAAATGGATGGCCACCATCCGTCGGCGCGAAATCTCTGGCGCTCTCCACCCAACGGTCCCTGCCCCAGGCGCTGCCGGTAAGAAATTCGTCTGGTCCACATCTAGCTTTTTATTACACAGCGCAGAGTCTGAAATCTGCATCTCCTCACGCTTAGATGTCTAGATGTTACAAGGTTAAGTAATCAACACACACGGAAGAGCGGAAGGAATTAAAGAACGCTGAACTTCTGAAGTCCGAAAAGTTTGGGAGCTTCTGAGAAGTACCTCCGATCATAGCAGCTGTTCAGGAACTTTGGGAGTCTGCCAACGGGGACGGTGGCGGCCAGAGGACACGCATCAGCGTCTACCATCAGTGGCCCGGGTAATGTATATAACAACTCAATGAAGGATGACTGTGTCAGTGCTTCCCTGAAATGAGGAACTAGTCCCATAGGCGGAACTCCGTGTCAGTATCACCGTAAGGGTCATGTGTGCCCTAGAAAACACAGTTCCGATGGTGATAAACGCTCTGTTGCATACCTTTGTCCAAGCGGGACGCGTCATCAATGACTGAGAACTCCAATTCATGACTCACGCAAGAAACCGAGATGGATATATGAAATGTGATCTCGAACCTACACATGATGAGTCATTCGTCAAAGTCATAAACAAACTCATCTTCATTATCGAGCATTCCCATTGCCAACAACACCATCAGCCTCAGAGAAGCGGATTGCGGTCTCGAAATCAATGATGTAGACACCAGGGCGAGTATGCGTCTTGAATCTTGTACGATCAGGGTACCACTCCATGACAAAATTTGTCAGGAAGAGATTCTGAATAAAAATAGACAGTAGCATCAATGGATCAATGGGTAAAATAATGAAAAGTTTGCCCGATGAGCGATACCGTTCGCGTGTAGGAACGCCACACCTGAAACGGCCCATCATTACTCAGCAAAAAGATAGCGGGTGTATCTATTAAGGGCTGCTATCTTGTCGTGGATAACGTTGAGCAGTAGTGTATCTCTTCACGATGTCTGTGGCTTTGGGAAGGGATCAGCAAAAACTACAACTATCCATTTTCATTGATCCTCTTCGCTAGGAATCTCTGGTTCGAAAAACAGTTTGGCCGGGACAGTTTCAAACATCGAAGAAAATGCAAAGCTGAAGAAGAACGGTGGTCTCATGCGCGCATGGTCTCGGGCGTATGGATGCAGTGAAGAATCTCCTTATTTCGAGCGATATTTGCACAGTTAGCGGCGGTCGTCGTCGATGAGAAAGTTCGGCAAGGGCCGTTTGCCAGCATGTGTCTCTATTAACGTTCAAGACTTTGCTACATTCAATGCTCCTGGATGCTAAATTAATGTGTCGCGGGAGGCTTGGAATTCAGCAAGTTCGGTTGCGGTACAGTATTCTGCTCCAACCGAATTAGTACTTTGCTATACAGTAATGTGCTCAGCCGTTATAGTTCAACAGAGGATACAGGTGCTAAGGTACGTCTTTCCATGTCTTTTCCCGAGCTAATAGCTACAGACGATTCCGTTACAATGCAAGTTTTATCGCGAGCCCCGCAGACTAGTATTGATAATTACCTGGCATTCCAAAGAAACAGCGACATACATGTTGACCTGGACGATCCACGAAGCTTTTAACTTTACCGAGATATGTCAGCCATGAGAGTAGTCATTCTTAGGTAAGTCATTTTGCACCATCAATTTCTCGATTTAGTCTTAGAAGCGGCATTTTTGCATTGCCTACGCACAATAACCCATTGTCATCGGCAACGCGGTGCCTTGTGGTTGAGTCAACGTATCGAGAAGAATAGAGAAAGCTTATGCTGAGCGCCGTTGTTACTTTAGATACAGAGCTTCATCCTCCGTCATCCTCCGACTGTCCGCTAAGGTCACATGTGTTTAGGATGTACATGTACTTTGAGAAGAAAGACGGTGGATTTTGCTACCATTGATACTGTCTATTCCACGAGCATTGCCAGCGGTGTCTGGCACGTCATGCGTTCTTATTGACGTTCGTAGCTGAATCCTTACACTTCCGCTCCTTTAAATGGCACCCATCTTAATCTGAACAGCATCCTGCAACCCGCGATAGTCTTCAACGCCTTTGCTCCTCAAGTATTCCTCCCATGCCTTGTCGTACTCCCAAAACAGAGTCAGCACATACGTTTCCGCCAAATCCGTTCCAGTCCTTTTCATCGCATCTACCAACAACACAATCTGGGTTACAACTGTCGCATTGCCCGATAACTTATATCTCTGTACCGACTTAAGCACCGCGCTTCTCTGGGGTGGTCCGTCAGTAGCGGTCTCCAGTACGGATACTATGGTGGCTCATGATGCTCGTGGTCAAGTATGATAGGGAACGGCTGTCGCAGGCGCGTCGAATGTTCAAGAGTACCCGAAGGCTTTGAAAAAGTAAGGTCAGGAGCCCACGCTTTCATCCCTTCGCAAGAGGTATTCGGCTCTGTATATTGTCGACACTCATGGCCGCATATGAACTGCCTGTTCCTGTTGTCTAACACGCATCACTTGGAAGTCCAGAGTGTATGCATCCAGCACATCTCCGATTTCGCCGGGCGCAACTAGTTTTGTCACCTTGTGAAAGACTGGCGCCCACAGAGAGGAAGCTATTTGGATACCTATCTCCTTCGCCAGATCATCCAGGAAATTTTTCTTCTTTCGTCCCCTCCCAGCAGACATTTCTATGAAGGGACATTTACCTACTCTCTATATGATGCGTTTTTTTCACCTATACGGCAATGGATTTACGGGGATCTGCAGAGATGGATTCATGCATTTGATGAGATGCAATGGGTTCGCTAGCATTGCACACTCCTTCGCTCCGTCCGGAAAGAATCGGTGATATGTAACGGCTGGATCCTGCGAAGTTGCGTATCTCAAAGGGATCTAAGCCCTAAAATCAATGCCCGTGAGTCTATTACCCTCCTCACGCGATTCTGGCACTTACTTTCTTACCCCTAGCACCGATGCCTCGTTGTGCCAAGCTAGCTATCGTGCTGTCACACCCTCATCTGCCTAAAGAGACAAGTTCTACCACTCCATTCAGAGATTCATATTGCGCGTTTTTTTACACTGGTCCTCGCAAGTGAGTGAACGTCCACATTGCGTGAAGCCTTTCTCTTCACAGATCCAAAGCGGGGCGACGAAATGAGTATAGACGGATACGTGTCGATCCTGACCATGTCTTTTACTAAGACTTGACGTCAGGGAGCCTCGATGTTCATTTGCTCGGGACCACGGCTCAAGAATCTTTATAGGGATGCGAGCAACCCTAACAACGCCAATGAGCTCGAGGAAAAGCTTTCCTCCTTAAATGCCTTTCTATAGATGTTATATCCCCGAATATCCCCCATCAAGAGCCGAACCGGTATTCAGACAAAGCATGGAATCAGCGCTAAGCTATATTATCTCGCCAGTTGGCAAATTGATGGACGTAGGGGGAAGTCTCTTGACCTGGTGAGCGAGAATAAGCGCCAGCCTTGGTCTTGGCCAAGGCTTCCAGGGCAGAGAATGATGCGACCTTTAGTCATGCGTGTACTGCGGACCCCAGGGAGGGCATTATAACCCATCACAGCTGAATTGGGGCCATCTGTGTAGATAAGGCGTGCACACTCCTTGCTTTAATATGTCTCGGGTTCGGCGAGTTCTCGCAGTCCTGATCCAGATGATTTCAACCCACAGTCGAGCTTGATAGGGTTATGTCGCTTGGAGGAATGGCTCTATAGCTGCAAGGGTTTTGGTAGAGCCTGAAGTCGGAAAAGAGAGGCGTTGATACAACTAGCAGATACTGAGAAATGGCTGCCGGCGTACGGTTTGGACTTTCAAGCTTAAAGGGCGCTAGAACTGGTATGTTAGACTCCATGCAGGGGGACGTATGTGGTGAAACACCACTGGCTTAGCCAACGCAAGCAGCAGGGTATACAGGCATAAACTCTATCAAAGAGTTTCTTCGTCATAGACAAAGTCATACTCATTATCCAGCATTTTCATCGCCATAAGATCTTTCAGTAGTAAAGCCCCCATACACTTCGCTAGCGCATCGAGCGCGTCCTGTATGTCGGGTCTCTGGAGAGGATTATCGAACACCTCGGTAGCCGAAAGTAGACCTACCTTCAGATATAACGTTAATAACACATAACCGCCATACAGGCAAACTCTCACCTTGAACCGCAGTATATCTGTGGATATCTGCCACACATCCAATCGAAACGGACAATATGTTACGTCAGGAATTTCAAGTTCTGGAGCCAAAGGGCGGCGATACCAGGATCTATTCGATACGGGGAAGGTGTTGGTGACACGCTCCTTCTCGTCGCTCGAGAATTGTATGGCAGTCTCAAAGTCGATGATGTACATGCGCGGTCGAGTGAAGACCTTGTATTTGCTGCTTTGAGGATACCATTCCAAAATGAATTTTGTTAAAAAGAGGACCTGTTTGCGGTCAGCGGCCGGAAAAAGCATGCTGGACACCAATAACGTACCCGATGCGCAATGCCACTTCTGTGTAGATAGGCAACGCCCTGGGGTCCATTTGTCATTACAGTAGCAAAAAAATGAAGGTAACGATTCTTTACCTCGAAAGCTTGCAGCAGCAAATGCATTATATCATCAACCGAGTTCAAAGAACCACCATGCATTGCCCCCGACAAATTATGTCCCTCGAGCATGGGGAATACTCCGAATACGAGATCTCCAAAGTGAAGCTCATCGAGGAGAGGCAAGATATGGTTATTCTCAGTCAAGATATGCAGCGATCTCGATAGTGACCTCACGATATTCAGATTGTTATGGCCGACGTTTTTATGAACCATTACTCGGAGGAGCTTGTCGCCGGCTCGAGGACAGTAACAAGCATTCATCAGTCCATTCTATAAAGAAATGAGCGTTAATGCACCCGTAAAGGACTGCGATCTATCTGGGATCTGAGGACATCGAATCGATTGGAGAAGTGTCGGCCGGAAGATGCTCCCATCACGGCTCCGATTAAAATGTTCGGTATCCCCCGCTAAGATGCCCAGATGCCCGCCTTTGCCTTTGCGGGCAAGTACGAAAGGACTAGTTGTCTTTTTCAAGGGCAAGGCTGCTAGATGTTGCTTTGCTCGGGCGAGAGAATTTGAAGCTGCGTTCCAAATACTGTTAGTTGAATGTCAGGACTTGAAATAAGTTAACATTGATTAAAATATTTATATTTACCACTTTTCCTCCCGGACGTTCAAACGGAGCTCGAAAATAGCAGTCTCCGGGAATGTTTACAGTAGACGCATGCTCCTACATCAGATACAGTATATCGGGGGTCAATCATCCTTCCGGCTTCCGTACGACGAGTATCAAAATTGTAACGACTGCAATTACATCTGGCGCAATTGGCGCAATAGCAACCTCTGTTATACTACTATGGAAGACCCCAGTAACCTTCGCTCTCCTTGATATGAACTCAACTCGGATACTAATTGGACCTCAATAGCAAACCAGACTCGTTGCCTTGGATAAAAATGACCAAAATACGGCGACCGTCGACCAGACAGACGATCCCGACAGAACCCTGAAAGATCTTCCCAGCAGCTATGAATCGTGGAGAAATCTGCATGGTGCGGTATACAGAACGACTTGGAACAAGTTCCGTACCTTCTTTGCGGACCATGGATGTCGGCTTTGGGAGGGACGATTTGATAGGAACCTTCTCTCTCCAGACCGAGACGACGAACCCATCATCTGCAATGGTTTCAAGTTCCTGAACGCAGCATGCATCAAGACCACCATTCTTCGACACTTTTGCGTGATGGTGATTTCCAAGCGAGTGCCAAATATAGCGTTGCTCACAGTATGGTAGAACGGACTCATAAACGCCTGCCATTGCCCTAGAAGCGGCGACAAAGTTATACGGGTAATGGCACACAACGACGTTGGGTTTACCGGATTGAACATCCTAAGATTTCTATCGACGACCCCACAAATTCTGGTGGAGAACAATCACATTCTCCCTCTCCTCGATGAGCTCAGAACTGGTGATCTCGTCTTTGGCATCTTTCCATTGCTGATGGGACCCAATTTATCAACTGTAATGCACCTTGGAGTATTAAATAGTGTGGCGGATATTATGGATTTGTTATTAGAGGCATTCGAGGTGGTCGTGAACTTTTCTTTCTTAGCTTTGACCAAATGTTGATGGGCCGTTTCAGGGTGTGGCGTTCCTACACGCAAATGGTATCGCTCATCGGGTAAACTGGCGATTATTCTGTTCATTCTTGCCACTGACTATCGTTGTTCAGGATCTCTTCCTGACAAATTTTATCATGGAATGGTGCCCTGATCACACAAAATTCAAGACGCATACTCATCCCCGTGTCTACACCATTGATTTCGAGACGGCGATTCCACTTCTCTGAGGATAATAGAGAACATGTAACGAGTACCTTCCCTGTGCTCAACCGATCCTGGTATCGCCGCCCTCTGGCTCCAGAGTTAGAGACATCCGATGCGCCAGATTGCCCTTTCCGATTGGATGTGTGGCAGTTATCGAAGGATATATTACGATCCAAAGTGGCATCCTTTTCGCAGGTCCATATGACAGTCTAACGCTATGATGTAGATCAATTTTCCATCAGTGCAAGAAATTATAGAAGCTATGAATGTCGATGATCCCGCCCAACGGCGGACGATTCAGGAAGCCCTGGATAAGATGGCGCAGTGCGTAGAAAGCATCCCGGAAGTGGAGTTGATGGCGATGAGAATGCTCGATAATGAAGACGAATTTGTTTATTACTCTGACGAATGATGCGTCATGTGTAGGCTCGGGATCATGTTTCATATCTATATCCATCTCAGTTTCTTGCGCAAGTCACGCTTTTAATTAGAGTTCTAGCGAGACGTTGAACAAAACGGTAATCGCTCCGACCTTGCGGTCCCGCCGCAGGCTCGAAATCTAGCCGTGCGGCACACATCATTGTGGGTGTTCACTGGGGTATTCATTTTTATTCGGGGTTCCCACCAGTCAGGATCGTAACCTCGAATTCGGAGCACCCTCAAATGCAATCCAAGTTGGTAAACACACAGATATGCCGTCTCGATATTCAACTCGTATATAATCGTACAAATCAGCCTAATGCTACCCAGTTCCATATGCTCCAGCTCTGCAGATCGCATTGTTAACGAGGCCAATTGGAAATCAGAAACCTTTTTTTGCGGGGTTTTAATTTTTTTAGGAGACGAAAGAAAGGAGAAGGAAGAAACAATTGGTGGTGCAACTACTGATAGTCCTTCGGAGGAGTGTCGTTTTCAGCAGGGAAAGCGACCTGAATTGGAGTCTTCTTCCCGTCCTCGACCTTGATGATAGTGGTAGGCTTGACAAGTTTGACGACCGACTTCGAAGCTCTCTGAGCGCCGTCATTACGGACGATCTCATGAGAGAAGCTGCTGCTCTGGCTCAACCCGTCGAACGCAATGGTACCTTCGGGAGAATTGAGGTAATAGTTCGCAGAGAAACCCTATAAATAACAGCTTAAGCGTAATGAACGCTCAGAAACGGAAAAAAAAACTTACCCAGTAGTAGTGGCCATTGTATCTGATAAACGCATTAGCTCGACGAGGACTCTGACATCTAGCGATGCATACTCACTGGTTACCCTTGGCTACAAGCCAAAGCATATCAGCTTGACACAAGGAGCGAAGCACGTTATTACTCACTGGCAATAAGACCGCCATCGTTGAGACCATATTTCTGAGAGGAGATTTTCAACAAAGGAGCGAATCTGAAGGCGGAATTAGCACTGACCAGGTTGTAGACCGATTTTCCGTTCGTAGTTAACTGAGTCCTCAAAATCGAGAGAGTCTCCCCAGCACCGACACTGCATGAACATATGTCAATTTTGTCTGTATAGGCAGGATCCGGTGGGACTTACGTGATCTCCCAGTCATTTTGCAAGGTGTGCGTCGATTCCTTCGATTGAGTCGACGAGGTCTCATTGGAACTGCTGATGGAAAAATCGGAACCAGCCACTGACCCAATAGTGACCGACCACGTGAGACTGATGGACGCTGATAATACAAAAATGTCGTCAGCCTTAAGTAAAACTAAAGAAGTGCATAGAAACTGACAGCTACGAGTTACGGTCAGAGACGCCGTCGATGTTGTGGACCACGTTTCGGTCCAGCGTGTGGTGAACGGTTGCGAATTGTTGCGATTGTCATAAGACCAGACAGTCGTCGTCTTTGTGGCATTGTCGACACTGTTACCGACGACGTACGGATCGCCTTTGGTCACGTTGTAACAGTACCAGCTGTGGGACGACGGAGTCAGCTTCCTAAGGAAAAAGAGACGCTTTCTACAGACCTCCAGGTTTCGGCGAAACCCTCGTTGAGGGCGATGTCTCCGAGGCCCTGCATGGTATTTCCGCGCTGGGCATTGAGTGTGTTGTAAACCTGCTGCTTGTGCCAGCCAAGATTGGATAGGTCTTCCCAAGAGGTTTTCACTCCAGCCATGATATGCAATAAGATGTTGGGTTGGATGGCAGTTGGGTTAAGTTAATGGTCACAGAGAGAAATGTGGGATGCTTTTATAGATTTGCGGGCGACCTTTCCTGTCCTGTCTTGACATCTAGGTCAAAGTACAGGATGAATGGAAGTTGTCGTTATTACCATAGGTTATACACATGTAGGGCACATGCTCACGCATCTGACATCCACAGTATGCGCAGACAAGATTGAAATGCGGGATGAATGGAAGCTGTTGTTATTACCGCAGGTTACACACATGTAAGGCACATGCTTACGGATCTGATGTCCACAGGACGCGCACACCAGAGAGACTGGTATTCAAACGGAATCATCTGGTCTTGGGCTGCGCTGTTTGGGGGTAAGACTCTCCTAGGGTCCAGGAACGTATCTCCTTCGCCATGGAGCGCCCTCGCTCGGATTTTGGGCAAAATGCTCTCCAAAGTAAGCCGTCATGTTACCGAGGTTGAACTTGAATCCACTCTAGAGGGCATCGCATAGTTGCGCCTAGAGAAACTGGTGGCGCTTGTAGAGCGGTTTGATGATAGCGGCACCGGGTAGTTATTCTTGAAATTCTTGATGAGAGAGAATGACAGATCTCTTCTAACAGTGTCGCTGAATCGAAAACCCGAGACAACATAAGGATTGAATCCATCTCGTCTGATGAAAAGCGCTTCGGAAATTAATATAATAATCTCCTCGATTCTCGGCTGTCAATGAAGGTTGGTTCGCGTGAACGTCAAGGTTGATAATCGATGGTCAGAATCGAACATCCTGAGTCAAGGGAAAATGCATACTCCGTCGTTTCAAGAATCAGGAGCCATGTAGGTGACACTGAAGGTGACGCAGGCAGCGTCGGCATGGCCCCACAGACCTCCTCCTGTCGTGGTCAATCTTCCTAACAATCCATTGTCGGCCAGTTCATGGCGAAAACTCTAACAATAACTAAAAGTTTCAGAGAGAGGTGATGTGAAAACAAATGCATACCACGCACGTTCTGCAGTTCGCCGTCAACTCATGGATGCAATGGTAGCGTCTCACATGAAAATATCTCTTCAAATCCCGCTGTAGAGACCTTCGAGAAGCTTGGGTTTGGTAACATCTGCTCTTCCAAAAGCGCCAAGACATTCAGAAAGTTGCGTTCTGAACCGTAGCCTCGTAATCTATCCATTTAGAATTGGTCACTTCAACATATCGTCGTTGGAAGGGTTGAACCTGATGGTCGTATCCTTGGCCTTATGACTTCCGAAGCCTTCTCGTGGGTTTTGCTCAATGAGCTATTGCGACGCGTCCAGTCACGAAACGGCATATTCTGTATTTCGAGGTGTGCTGACCAGTGTCAGCATAATTTACTTGTAACCAACGTTCGACGCCACCTATTCAAGGCCTTCAGCCGTCTCGATGAGGTATCTCCGACGGCAGTTTCGTAGCATACTTCCCCACTGCTAGTCGTCACCATATTCGCACCGAAACCGCTATTGGTGGATCATCTTAGAGATCAATCTCTGCCTCACTGAAGCGCTGCGCTTATGTCGGTACAGAGAGATACCCGACTGGGAGCTCTGGCGGTGACATATGCGCTGACAATGTTTTGGGCGAACGGTAAGGAAGGGAGTGTCGGGGATAAAAGGCAAATGAACCATGCTTGGGCTCGGAAGGGACACCCGAGAGGCCATGGCTTTGGAGACCATCGTGACTTGCAGATCATATAAACAATGCCGAAGCCACTTGGGAGCAGTGGGGATAGCATAAGGATTAAATATGAATGTCGATGCGGGCGGATGCATCAAGGACGGCTAGAATGTTCGACAATGTACAGTGTCGATTACAGTCAAGTAAGTCGCCTTTCTTCTTGGAGTATACTAGAGAAGGGACCGTCAGCTGATGCCCATGAAGACGGCGGACCATGGATTTTCATACAGATGGCACCCAATGTGAGTCTGAATTGGTATTCCTTCTCCTTCTCCTTCTCCTTCTCCTTCTCCTTCTCCAAAATTGCCGCAATTCAAAGGAGTTGTGTCTGAGGACAATTCAGACCAAGAAGACGGTAACATGATGAAACGAAATCGCTTACCCAAGGCAAATGTCGGTAATAGGATTGTATATCATCCATTCCGAGGTGCGTGTTGCGTTCTCTTCAATAAATCGGCGTCTGCATTACGCAGACTTCAAGTTACTTGAAGTTGTTGTTTGAATAAGGAAAATAGCCCAAGGTGTTCTTTACTGAATATCTTTGTCAGACTCGCCTACTTGTACACATCCCAAATTAAGCAAAGCATCTCCTTCGAAAACAGCTAGCGAACCGGTGGCGATGGTATACGCATGATATCTGGTGTCAGGACGCAGCTTGATATGATTACGGAGCAGACCGGTGCGCGGCGTAGGTGAAGTGCTCGTCTTCGGTGAATCCAGTTGTCCATATGTAGAGCACCATGTTGGCCGACGATACTGTGATTTTAGTGAGAATCCAGCACCAACGATGAGGACCTCCACATTAACTAAAAAGTAATGCTACAAACAAATGTGATGTGAGTTCCAGCTTTTCAACGTTTTAGACAGGCAATACCGGCAAGAGGTGTTCTCAACCCCACATTACACGTCATTCATTAGAGTCATACAAAAACTTGTCCTCATCATCCACAACATTCTCATCGACATTAAATCCCTTTCCGGGATGCTTTCCACGCACTGCGCCATTTGATCCATGGCTTCATGAATCGTCTGTGGGTACCCGACTATAAATGTGGCAATCCCTGCAGCGTCTCTGGCCATCAAGCTCCTGTATGAACTTGGGGTAACGAGATGCATTTATGGAACCTCGTTGTGCTCCGCGAGTGATAATCGATAATCTTCGGCGCTATACAGAGGAACGGGAGTACATCTGTGGGAAAGAAAGTCAAGCGTGATGAGAGTAGGCTCTGTGGAGACATTTGACATCTACAAAATCGGACTTTGTTAGTCATACGCTCTTTCCTTGCATAATGGGAACTGACCGTATGGTAGACTGTCCGCGTTTATGGATCCTCGGAGCATGGGTACTGCGTCGGAGGAAGCATGGCTGCGACGCTTAGAGACATTTCGGAGGTATCATCGAAGGGGGAGCTTAGGTGGGTTAACCCGTTGTTGATGCGTGGAGGGGGGTCTTGGCAGTAGCGATACAGTTATGGGTAGCTATCGGTATATGCGTGTGGAAGCTCTATCAGTAGAGCGATGCTTTATGGTGGACACCTAAAGCAAACATTCATTAGTAGTTTCCCCGTGATTATTATGGATTTCCTTACTTTTAATATGAATGACCGGTAACTATGGTCCCTATCGCCAGACATACCCAGGTGTCCGTTACAGTGGGGCCTTCCGAGGTAGCAGCGCCGTCTAATACGACCATATGGAGTAAAGTTCCCGACCAGCCTCTTCATCCCACGTAGGACCTGTAGGACCGCCTCCCGACAAACACGGAAGCCACGGTGGAAAGATCGGGTACCCGCACAGTAGTGAAGTCGAGAGCTGAGGTTGATATCACCCGGAGAGTGACACGATAGGAAGATATGTACAGCGCTCGCGTCGGCTGTCGTAGCCACCAAGATTCTTCCTGGAGAGGATGTGGGAGCGAAGTGCAATCCTTTGCAGCGGAATAAGTAGCAATATGTACCTCTGCAAACAACGCAGTCAGCTTTCATCTCCAGAAAGAAAGTGGCAGTACAAACAGTCAAACAACCACAGGCCCCGCTTCCGATGCCTTCAACGGAAGGTCTGACGGCGGGCCGCAGCAAGAATCAACATGGTGACCGTGGTGCTCGGAAACAGAACCATTGAGGCATAATGCGGTGATTGCTGGATGTCGTAGATTTGAGGTTTGCATGGGTGAACGCTGGTAATGACTCTTGAAGCTTGAAGCTTAACTGGTCTGACCAATGAAGAATGTTTGAGGGTTCGTAAGTAATGACAAAATCCTTTGTAATGGCGGCAATCAAAACTCGAAATGTTTCCATGGTAGTAAAAACGCACCGAGCACCGAGGCGCCCCCCAAAACAACCGCACACAGCCAGCATACGGACCACTACCGAGGGTACGCCTATGTTCGGGACGGAGAACGGCCTCGATCCCACAGGTCCTTTCGCCTCTGACTCCCGCACGCCTGGTACTTGACTGCACTGTCCTCGAGTCGAGCGAAGGGGAACTGGGCAGAGGTAGGCGATGTCGACCATGTAGAAGCAGAAGTCTTGCTAGTAGAAATACCAAAAACGTTCCACAGATAAAAACGGTCAGATTTCACGATATGTACGTCCTGACAAAGAACGCACCTGATCCCCGAAGTTCAATTTGCGCTCCTTCACCCGCTTCTCAAGACATTAGATACAAATGTCGGCCATAGACAAGGGAAGAATATAAAAATCTGGGTTCTGTCGAAAGACAAGGGTACGCGGAGGAGAAAATCCCAGAAAACGGGAGGAATCGCGTCCATGACGGTGGTAGGAACGAAAGAGCCCACAACCGGGTGGTCGGGCCGACGCGTCTCTCTTCGACCATCACCATCACCTCGATATATCCATACACTGGATATCTGTTGGGCATACATTTTTGTGTCAGTTTCTTACCATTAATCTGGCTTTTTTAAAGACGTGCGGGCACCAACGACGTGGATTATTTGGTACCTGCAGCAATACTTCATCATGATCGATGACCAACATATTCTGTCGCTTTGTCCTCTCCAAGATACTGTACGAAACATTCCGGCGGCTTCCCACTATATCTTGGGCGCATATAACTGCTATGATCTGTGTGCCCATCGAACAGCTGTGGTCGGACCGTGACACGCAGTAGCTACAAAGTAGCTGGCTGTACATCAAAGAGCCGTACTAACAGCGCGATTTCTGTTGATGGTGGACATGCAGGTGGGTCTTCTGAGTCTTCCGAGGCCTCAGATATAAATGCGCTGTCCAATGCAGGTTGGGAGGTAAACCCAACACTCAAGCGATGCCGTAGCGGCGCCGTCATTGATGGTGCCAGTAGTATGGGCATCCTCCCGATTACGCCTCGCCTGGAAAGCATTTAGCTGACCATACGTCCCGTGGTGAAAAGTAATCGGTTACCTGTGAATGAGGAAAAGCTAAGATCTCCTTGTAAGGATGGTGTTTCCAGCCTCATGTCGATCGTGGTAAAATCTCTCTTCCTCGTCACTGCCGCGCTGCTGGTTTTCGCCGATAGCTCTGCGTTTTCCCTTTCTGTCCAGTTCAGGTTCTGTTTGGGAGTGCTTGAGTGAGACCAAGAGGTATGTGGTCGGAACTATTACTACTGTCATGGAGTTCACGCTCACCGTGCCGGACCTTGTTGCCATCGATGCGGTGGTCTCCATCCTTTGGATGGCGCCAACAAGTATCCCTCATGGGATACAACAAGGGGCCGGAAAGGCGTTTCATTACCCCCAAGTTCATCCAGGAACTTGATGGCCCCGGGATGCTGCAGAGATTTACTGCATTTATAGCCGGGTGAGCTAGATAAGGTCGTGGCCATGGATACGCTAACCAATGAGCGTTAAAACGTTCAAGTCTGTTTCAATGGGAGGCGAGCTCACACCGGTCACTGCGATGCTTCGAAAACGCAGTACAATCGTATAGCGCTGTGGTAGAGAAGAGCTTGTACGAGCGAACTGGTATTAATTACTGGATTAATGAAGAAAGGATTCTCAGAGTCATAAAGGTTGTCCTGTGTGATATTGTGACCAAGCACTCTACAGTATCAATGACTGGGTGCACCACCTCTTGAACAAAGGTGGAGGATAAGCCGATACTACGAGGCTCGTTCATCGTAATGAAACATAACGAGGACGAAAAACTCACCAGATAACGTCCTTCTTGGAGAACGAAGCTCCACTGTATAGCGAAATAATACCCTTCAGTTCTCCGGAGTCCTGGACTGGCAAGTGAATCAGGGTTACTCAGCCTACGAAGAGGCTGTTGGTCCAGTCTAGTTAGTCAAAGCTGAGGCAAGTTTCATTAACATTGTCCATTCCACTCCACTCTCTTAAGTCGCTTCTCTTCCTTCAGAGCAGGCAGCATCATGACGCATGTCCAGTGGTGAGAATTTTGGTGGTGGCAACTCAGGAAAAGGTAAAGACAACTGGAAATAGTGAGTCATTATATAGCGCTAACTTGGATCACAGTTGGTGGGAAATGAACAAAGAGAGCATCCCAAAGGTACATGAATATTAGTACTGCAAAGGCGAAGATTGTGTCGTCCACATCGACAATAACCATGCTGTATGCTCTAGTAATATCTGCCGGCACCTCTTATGCTGTCTCAACAAACTTAACTTGACCCTCAAAAGTATGAATAAAAAATACATAGAGAATTTTTTTTAGATTACCGTTGAGCTGACCAATCAACCACCCAGGTTGACGGTTCGGTATCCCCTCGATTCAGATTGCCCTGAGACATGAAGTACATCACCGAAGATTATTGTGATGTGTGTGGTTGCTGTATTATTTTCTGGTGATGGATGGCGGGCACATGCTCAATGGGAATCAAAGGACCAACTTATTCATATCAGTCAGCCTTATTTCTCAGCACCATTTTAACAGTGGATTTAGATGCTGAAAATAAGGCTCTACAAGGAGAAGAACTATACTCCATCAGGAGTGAGCTGAGCTGCAGTGGAGGCACTTAATAGCTGGAGTCTAAATTTAGCATAAGCTAATGCTTAGTGAAGGAATCTGGGTACCTTCCAGCTCTGATCTGACTATACATATCCTTCCTTGGTCATCCATCTGGAATCAGTCAAAGAACATTGCTACACCGAAAATAAGTAGTGCATCAAGGTGAGGACAGGTAAGAATATATTCTAGTTTGGTTCTTGTATTAATGAGGCTCTCTGCAGCCTTCAATCCATTAATGAGCACAACAGACTCTCAAATATCTCAATGAAGAACATCTACAGAAGGCATCACAATCAGACCCTCCAGAATAGAGCTTTAATAACACATCATACCTGCCCAGAGTCGTGGTACAAGCAAAAATGATCCTTCTTCAACTTGAGAAGGTGAGCAGACAGCTGGTTGATATTGGCAAGATCGAATTTTTCCGCTGTATTACAGAAGGAGATTGGAAGGCAATTAGTTGATTCATGGTGAATGCCGGCTGTGGAAAGAGAGTATCGAGCACTAAGGTCATGATGGTGAGGAAATGGTCTGGCACAGCCACGCATTTCAGCTGAATGTCCACTTTCTTAGCTTTACTATCAAAGCGCTGAGCAGTATATGTACATTGTATATTCATCCAACGCTACTCATTCCTCGAAGCCAACTTGACCCTCAACGGCAATCTCGATCCCCTCTCAACCTCGCCTTCCGACGTCGGGGTCATAGCAAAACACGACTCCCTCCGGATCCTCTCGGGCCCATGTCCCTCGACAAAGGCAAATTCAAACTTGCTCATGATTGCCACGATCACAGCTTGGAGCTCCATAACACTGGAATACTTGATGTCAACTCGCAGGGTCTGATGAAAGACAGACACAGGAGACGTACGCAAATCTCCAACCGATACAGGAACGAGGTCCACCAGAGAACGTGAACCTAAACAAAGACTCCTAAGTGTGGTGAGGACAACGAGAAGATACATCCACTTACAGCCCCGCATACACCCCCAATGCCACCTTCTGCTTCGGAGGGTCACGTAGCCAACGATCCGGGTTAAATACATGTGCGTCTTCTCCATACATCTCCGTGTTTCTGTAAGACAAGAAATTATGTACCTTCGACGTTCTCCAAACATAAGAGCAGCCACCCACCTATTACAAGCAGCAACCGACGACATGATCTGCATGCCCTTGGGAATGGGTAACTCATGAAGGACCTTCCCTGACACGGTCGTAATCGGTGAGCTCAACGGGAGGACGTCGTCCTCTCCGGCTACCCTGAAGATGTTGTATGCCACAGGATGGAAACGCAATGTCTCCTACAAGGACATGCACCATTAGCACTTCAGTCCAAGCCAGAAGAAATTTGAACTACCTTCAGCACAGCCAACATATATGGCATAGAATCGAAATCCGCAAGACCGAATCTCGTCTCGCCCCGCTCGTGCAACCGAGCCTCGGCCGAACGTATCTCCGCGCGTAATTTGTCCTGTATCTCTAGATTCTTGCAAAGCTCGGTCAGCATGAAAGCGATCGTGTTGGACGTGGTTTCGTGGCCGGCAAGGATGATAACACTAGCAAGGAAATCAACCCCCAGCTGGGCCAGCAAAAAAGTGTCGTGGTACTCACTTGACTTCAGCTAGTAGCTCGTCCAGTTTGAGCTGAGCTTTTGGATCTGAAGAATTGTGGGCTTTGACTGAAAAATGTCAGTCAGAGGCATGAAGACCATTATAGAGACGAAAAAACGTACTGAGCAAGCTCATAAGATCCCGGTTCCCCCCTCCCGACAGCGCCTCCTTGCTCTTCTCGGCAATGAGCTGCTTCGAAAGCTCGGTGGAGAGATCTTTCGTCATAGCTGCATGCGCCATCCGACCAGCAGGGAAATGGTTAAGAATGAACGAAACGACGATGGAGGGAAGATAGTCCATGATCGTCATATACAGAACGCCGGAGTTTGATGGGATACCAAACACATCGAAGCTGGAGTAGAGTGCATCAGTGTAGCCGGCACAAGGACTAAATAGCGAGGAGACGTACAAGACATTGCTGTATGCCTTCACCAATGGGCTATTGGGTTCATCGAGAGCATCGAATTGGTAGTCAAAAGCGGCTGTTCCGATTATGAGGTAAGAATGCAGCACGCAAACGGAGATGACTCGATATATACCTTCCCCAATCGCATCCAGCGTCGCACGAGACAACCAGTTCGTAACCTCAATGACAGTCGACTGGCCATTATCATCCGCAATGAGGTCGATCCACTTTTGAACCATCTATCGATTTTCGGCATCATCAGTAATCGCGTCCCGAGATACAAACGTTGAAAGAACCTTCTCCGCACAAGACGAAAAGATAGGAATATATGATTTGGCTTCCGGGAATCCAAAAGCAGGGTTCATGACTTTGCGCTGCCGGATATGATCTTCACCTGCAAAGGTAAGCACTGTTAGTGCTGATAAGGATACACCGTCCGCTACGCACCATCAACATTCCCCACTCCCCGTCCAAACATCAACCCAGATATTTGCCGTCGAGACTGAGGCTTGGGGAAGGCATAGCTAGCGGTGTGATATACATACTGTGTCGCTTTGGGATCGGAGATCAAAAGACGATCTTCCTTCACACAAGTCATTCAGAATGATAAGGCGGCGGCGAAAACTAATACTCACCCCAAGCGGAGCCCGCACTCTGACCACGTCGCCGTACATTTTCTGCCATTTGAAGTCGACCTGAAGAAAGCATCAGGGAACCTGAGACACCATGATAAAAGAACTGCTCTACCTCTCCGGCTTGCGCTTGGAGCAGCTCGGTTATATTACCTAGTGAGTGCCAAGATCAATTTCGAGCACAAGCACGGAGATCACCGACAATCGCACCAAACAAGAACGAATTGGACTCGGGTCCTGGGATATCCGAGATTGACACCCTTGTGAACCGTCTATAGAGCACATATACCAAAGTCAGGGCGACGAGGAGGAGGGGAAGGACATCGATGATAAGCATGGTGGGAGACTCGACAGGTCGTCAAACCGATCCTGATTTGTATTTTATAGAGGGCTCCGATCTTCCGTTCCATCGCGGAAAAGAAGCACGTCGATGCGTTATGACGCCTGGTGGATTATTCAAAGTGACATGAAGGTGTTTCGATCGAAGGTCCGCAGTGGCACATGAGAAGCATCAACGATTTTAAGTGTGATTGGCGATTTGGATTGCAACATAAGTACTGGCAGAGGCTTGGTGTGCCGGTCGAAGTAGGATGAATCTGTATATCCACGGAACTAATATTTGCCAGCTTCCGCTACAGAAAGGTAGTTCTCAGTTACGAAGAAGTACGGAATGCTTCCTATCTCCTTCTGTTTGAGAAATACTGTTGACGGGCCGACATCACATCTTACCTTTGCACAATGAGTAAAAGAGACAGATTTTCATGAACATTACTCACTCACTCGCTATCATCTCCACGGATCACAGAGAAACTAATCGTATACTCCGAGCCGAACGCAGCTCCATGTGAGCAGCATTTGAAGGGCCTGGCAATGTACGGGCAGAGAGGACATCCTACGAGCAATGCGATTCCGGAAGAGGCGTTGGATAGGTCGAATGGCACCGTACAGGTGCTCCGGCTCTTTCGCTGGTAGGCACTGGAGCAGACATATAACGACGGTAGAGCTGTCGTGGGAGACATATGAAGTTATGGAGTGTGGGAAGCGGCGAGCGGTGACGAAACAATTAGGGAGCGAAGGTGACAATATCTGCACGGAACCGAAGCGATTCTTGAACACGGCAGCCACATATCGATGCACAATGTAACGACCCATCGCAGTCACATAGCTTGCATACCCAAGACTAGACGGTGAGGCGCGTTCATAACCCAAAAGCGGCTTCTCTTCGAGCATTGGTTTTCCTGATAGACAGTCGAGACGTGTTTTCAGGACATCCTGCCATCAACGAACGTCAGATCTGCATTGGGAACTCTTCGTGGTCGACGCAGAGCTAATGATCTGCCGCGCTACGGCTCTCCGGAACACAGTATATTGGTACGACGTCTCAGAAACTCGAAGGCCAGACGCACCATTACATCGTACGAGATCTACCGCTTCTCGTTCCTCGTGGCTCACTCGTCGGCTCGTTTATAAACTTGCATCGCCTTCCACGAAATGGATCCGGCTGCTTTGAGAACATTTCTCGACTGGTCGGACGCGCATGAGATGTCGTGGTGGACAGCGTGCATAGTATATCTACATGTGATATCCTGACGTACAGCAAGTCTTGATGGAACTATAGAACTATTCTTCTGTAGGCCGGATCTGCCGTGAAGCTTCTAGCCCATTGGTGTTTGGATCTGGAATATACGCGATCGACCCGGGAGACCTTATGGACGGTAAAGAATAGTCCAACACCGTAAGATTGTTGGATGGCAAGACTTCACCTGCTAATTACATGAATTCTTCCTGCACCTGTGCACCAAGTTCAATGTGATGACCAGAAAATCCTAACGCTGAAACATACCCATGGTCCGCCTTCATCATAGCGCTGGGGTGGCCTCTCCCAAAATGTCACCTTCTCCAACGCCTCCTTGTTTCTTATCGGGAAAACAATGCCGATCTCATAATTCTTTAACTGTATATTTTATAAATCAGGTCAAGTAGTTTCATGCATAAATGTAAATGAACTCACGTTGAGGACCGGTCTAAAAGCACTCCCAGAAAGTGTTCCCCACGCCGAAGGCGTGAAATTATGCGATCCGAGGTAGCCCCATCCTATCGGAGCGTCCACCACTTCGTTATCGCTGTTTTCAGTATCGCAATCATCGACATCAACAGGATTCTCGGATAGTAGACCAATAATCATCTGCGAAATCAGATCAGATCTGGTCATGTACATAGGTATCTTATTACCTTGGTATGCATCAACACTTTTCCCGCACGACTTTTCGAATCATAAAACTTGTCCCTCGGGAAGTTCTTACCATTCCATTGAGCTCTTCGGCAAAATATCGTACTGCCACCTTGCACACCGAGAGCACTCTCCTGCACAGTCTTCTTGCTCGGAAATATGATTTTGATGGAGGGATAAGGAAGTTTGGCGCGTTTAGCTTTGGGACCGTCGAGGTAATCCTGCGGGCTCTCGCCTCGTGCAGAATAGAAGAATTCGTTCACCCATTGGGTGGTGTAAGTTCCGATAGAAGAGCCCTGGAAAATGTCAGAGCGGGTGAGAATCCTCGTATAAATACTTGCCTGGTACTCCACGTCTAGTTTTCTCGCAGTTTTTCCCTTCTTTGTTCGAAGACCAAGATTCCTTATGGCCATCATGAGTCTCATATGTCCTGTCCTACAAAGGGCGTCATGAAGATCACAGAGTCCAGAAGGATGCACCAAGACCTACAAGGTGACCTCCGGCCAGCCGTCATGTTTCCCAGCAAGCGACGGAATCAAATGCACCTTGACTTTCGCAAAGTCCCACCGCGAACGTAGATCCTCAATCTTGAGAAGAGGAAGATTGGGATGCTAACGGAGAGTCAGCGCAGCATCTTAAACGGTGTGCATGACTCACCTCCTTCAGCATCAGCTCTAGTGCTTGTCTTACATTGACACCGTGCAGCACTCTTTGCATTGTCGCTGGAAAATCGTCCGCTTTGGGGTCGCTGACAATCGGAGTTCCGCGGGGAGGGATATCTTGCAGCCATACCACCTGTGGTATAGTTCACAGTGACACGAAGGCAGTCAAAACACAAAATCGTACGTTTTCAATGTCTCTATAGTCAAATGGGACCAGATTCGCCGTGGAGATGACCATGCGTAACCTACCCGTCTTGTAAAATATCTGTGCTTCGTTTAGACGTCACGTATGCTGGTCGTTGAATAAAACACCTACAATCATAAACTACGGACGACCGTGGTCAACAGAATGAACGTATATGAAGGATACGGTGCAAACCTTCATATGCATACATCCGTAAGGCCCATTGAGCTTGGGCACCGTCTTAATCCAATTTGGAAGAACATTCCGCATCCCCTCTGATTCCCCATGCGCGATAAAGATCACTGGGACCTCACGCTCAAAAAATTGGTAAATCCAAGATATGTCATGAGCATAAGTAGACAGAATGGCGAAAGATATGTCAGATTTCTGTCAAATCATCCCCCGAGTCAGCATCTGACATCCAAAAAAAAAAGAAATCCATACTGGGCCCAAAATTTCTGTTAATCGGAACGTGGCCTTTCTATCTTGTCTAGGCTCTGCAAGTCGCGTCGCTGTTGGCCTTATTTCTCCTTCGAAAAAGAGCTGACCCGTGAGCGGTATAGGTGCGGAGGAAGACGTCTTCGTGTTCCGAGATGTTAAAGGCTCCACAATCTGTATCTCTTCATCATCGTCATTCTTCGCGGCCTTCCCCTTCCCAGTGGCTTGAAGATATCGCTGTTGGCGCTCCTGTCTTTCCTTCTCTAGCTGCGCTCTTTCTGAAAGAAAGGAAGATTGAGGGGCTGATAATTCTCGTGCCTTCGAAAGCTCCGCTGGCGGCGCCTTCATCGCCTGCTGTACCTCGTCGTCGTCGTCATCCGAGCTGATCACGATAGTCTCAAGAAAATGAGGAGGTAATTTGGCTCTGGATTCTTGAAGACTAAGTGAAATGGCCCTTTGTATCTCGTCATGGTCAAAATTCATGGTGGTGGTGGTGATGATGGTTTGGCAGAAAGAGATTTAATTGGCGCGGGTATCACGTGGCTCAAAGTGGCCCCTGGAACCTTGCCTCGCGCCATAGAACTGCGAATACGACGAATCTTTCTTGCAGAGGACTTGTAGGCATTTGTTGCTAGCGCTAAATTGCGCAGTTCATGTTTAATTCTCTTTATTTCGAATCCTGGAGTGCTGCACTGCCTTTTACTCGTGTATTGTCTGATCTTCCGGTCTTCAAATTAAAAATCCACACTAGACCCAGTTCATTGATTCTCCGTTATCGACTCGGGCGATTCGGTAACGAGAATAACAAATCCCCGCTGTTTCGTCCTCATGGGCAGACGGACCTAATCAAATTTCCCAGGACGCAGATTTGGCACACAATAGAAAAGGATCTTGTCATCTTCCGTTTCCATCTCAACATGAGGCGCCTTTAAGAATGGGACCTTTCCTATTTCTGCCATCGGTGGAAATACCTTATTATCTGGTGGTCCTATTAACATGAAGGCGATACTCAGAGAGGCCCACTCGTCACGATGCTATTGTCGCTCTCACCCTACCGGATACAAAAAGCAATCCTTCTTTATGATAGCTCTACCCACGTACAATGGTGCCAAGAATCATTATTTAAGACGGAGCGCCAGTGCGCAAAGGTAATTCCTCTGCGTGCTAGGGACTTGGTCCACAACTCACCTACTTCTTCAGACGCAATCACACACCAAGAGAATGGAACACATATCACGCAATCCTCCAGTTCGTGTTCGTCAAGACCTCTCCTCAGTCGTCGCCGTCCCATCACATCAGTTCTATCGCCCGGCGACTGGGAAGGATCGACACAGTCGCATCGAGCGGTACCAGCTCGAAACCCATCTTCTCACTGCTCAAATTGATACTCTGCAATCTCACGTCACGGCCTACATCAACGACCAACCTCCTAACGACCTAAACTACACCCCTAACCCACTTTCTATTATCGCGGCCCGACACAGTAGCCAACGAGACGAGATGAAGTCCTCACGGGACCTCGCAAAAGAGGTTCGGAAACTGAGGATGAGAAGGGAAGAACTCTTAGCTGCGAGGGAACGGATGAAGACTGAATACGAAGAACGTCAACTCTCAAGGCGAATCAGATATTCACCTTCTCGCATGGACAGAGTTCCTCGGTGATCAAGCAATTCCAGTATGTTTCCTCCGATCTTCTTGACCGGGCGATGCTTACTGGGCAGCTACAGCATCGTCACGTATTGGCGTAGCTATTTTCACCCAAAATTTTCCCTTGCAAATTTGCGTCACAGGTGTTGTGACTGGGTATATACCAGCATGTACGGATATGTAATGCATGCCAGCTTATGGACCTATGGTGAAGCGAGTGAAATGCATTAAGTGATTATAGATGTTTCGACATCACCAAGAATCTACAGAAGA